ACGATCTCTAACAACATTAGACAAAGCAGACAGGCGTGAAAATCTAGAAAAACCCAAAAGGTTATTGAGTAAACCCCACAATTAAAAAAGGGACTTGGTCAACCGACTCCCAAAAATTGGAGAGTCCACTCCCAAACCCAGGTTTCCCCAAAATTTGGGAGTCGATTCCCCAAATCTATCCTTGGGTTTGAGAGTCGGTCCCCCAAAAAAATTTAAATAAAAAAAAAGAAAAACCCCGGAGGGGTTGGGTGTCGATGCGGGGTTGGTGATCAAAAAAAAAACCAGTGGCCAGGAGGATTCCTCCCAGCCACGAAGAGTGCTCTCTTGACGGCCGAGAATGTTTCTCTCAGCCGTCGAGGGTCTACAACCTCAATGGCCAAGAGGGTTTCTCTCGGCCGTTGAGTATAACCCTCAACGGTGTGGAACTGCTCAGCAAGTGAGTAAAGAGCTTGGAGGGGATAAAATAGCTAATAAGACTATGAAATAGTAGAATTAGTATTGGTGTGTGGGTGAGACTGCCCTCCTGTCTAGCTTGCGGGAAAGTTACACTAAGAAAAATAAGAGTGTGGCTTATTTCTAAATTTATCTTAGTGTTGATACTACTGTTGATGTTGCTTAAGAATACCTGTTGAGGAGGTAAAGAGTTTTATGGGGTTTTCTGAGTAATAAGGGTGTCTGTAGGGTTTCTCTGTTAAATCTGTTATAAATTCTCTCTGGTTCTCTGATCTTATAAGTCTCTCTGGTTTCTCTGGGCTCTGATAAAAAGGTACGCTTATTTCTCTAATTTCTTTCAAAGAGGTGAGAATGGCTAAGCAATATTTCTGAATTACTTTTCTATGGCCAAAAATTGAGGTAAGGGAAGTTCAAGGGCTCTAATAATCTCTGGATCTCTTAATCAAGGGTGATGAAAGCTGAGTAATATCTCTGATTACTGTTCTGTAGCTAGCATGAGGAGGGAGAAAGGAAAACATGAGCCAGAGGAGCCTCTATTTATAGACAAATGGTTCTGCAGTACATGGGTTTTTGGCCTGAACACAAGTTCGTCTGAGAAGGGTACTTCTAGAGTGGTTTTTACTACTCTGAGATGGCCTAATCTGATATGAGGTAAATCTCTAAGTGCCTTTTCTAATACCAGGAGGTTGTAAATCTACTTTATGAGGCCTAGTCTTAGATTAATTAATATGAGAATGGTATTCTTAGACTAATTAGTATAAGAGTTATTTTCTAGAACTAGTCTGTGAAGTACTTTCTGATCAATACCTTGATTTACCAGTCTAAGATAGATGTAGTATCACTTTATGTGTTTTTACAGTCTATTTGTATAATTATTATTCATAAGGAGTTATGTATTTTAGGCCTGCTTTGGGCTTTATCTTAGCTATGTTTTAACCCAGTAATTATTATACCTTGTATTCTATATTTTACCCCTCCTTCTCTATCATCTTAAACACTATTTATATGTAATAAAATATTTTTAACTAGATCTATGGGTTTGATCAATCTCACCACAACGGCCAAGAGGTTTTTTCTCGGCCGTTGAGTATAACCCTCAACACCCAAGAGTTTCTCTCGGCGGTGGAGGGTGTACACCTCAACGGCCGGAGGAAACTTCTGAGGGTGTACACCTCAACGACCGAGAGCGTTTCCTCTCGTTTGTTGAGAATGTAAACCCTCAACGGCCGAGAGTGTACCTCCTGGTCGTTGAGGGTATACACTCTTGACAGCGGAGAGGATTCCTCCAGGCCGTTGAGGTTTTACATTCTCAACGACTGAGAGGAAACCCTCTTGGTCGTTGAGGTGTACACCCTCGATGGGCCGAGAGGTTTCACTCGGCCGTTGGGGTGTACAGCCTTGACGGCCAAGAGGTTTCTTTTGGCCGTTGAGGGTTATACCCTTATAACGTCCGAGAGAAATTCTCTTGGCCGTTGAGATAGCACTCTCTGCCAGCTTAGTTTTTTTTTATCACCGACCCCCCAAAACCACTTGGTTTTGGGGCATCGACACCCGACCCCTCCGGGGTTTTTCTTTTTTCTATTTAAATTTTTTTGGGGGGCCAACTCCCAAACCCACGCATGGATTTGGGGACTTGACTCCCAAATTTCGGGGAAACCCGGGTTTGGGAGTCGACTCTCCAATTTTTGGGAGTCAGTTGACCAAGTCTCTTAAAAAAAAGGGGCAAATAAAATTACAGCAGTTCCCAGAAAGCTTGCGTTCGCAAGCTCCTGGGATCTGATTTTTTTTTATTTTCTTTCCACTTTTTTTTGCGCCTCGTAACCTGTACACATGACTGTACAGGTTGTGAATCTGCTGCCGAGGCCGGGTGAGCCCTCCGGGCACCTGCCGGTTGCCTGGTGGGGGCCAGGTGCAGTTGACGTGATGACCGCTTCCAACTCAAAAAAATGAGAGGAATCCAATGGTCCAACTCCCATATCTTCAACTTGAAAAATGGGGGAGTTGGGCCATGATGCCTGGAATATCATGGCTGTACGAGGCCACATACAGAACAGAAAAGAAAAGAAAAATCGAGGCACAAATAAAAAAAATTGGGATCCCAGGAGCTTGCAACAGCAAGCTTTCTGGGATGCTGTACCAACCAAAACTCACCAAAAGGGGGGCATGTACTAGCATCATATATAAATTCAGAATGATAAACATATCTCCATTGATCAATGGTGGTCTATTTCTTAGAAAAAATCATTTTCAAAGTCTTACAAATTCATTTCAACTTCAAGTTTCAAGGTTTTTCTATTGTTTTTGGTTGTATTTCACTCTATATAAAAAAACCGGATGATTTCAACAAAGATTGACCCAAGGGTCAACTTTCTCAATATAACTTGCTATTGGAGGACTTCCTGTTTACTGATAAATTGTTCAATTTGGAAGGGGGTCCTAAAATCCACTGGCTGGTCAAAACTTGATCTCAATCAATTTTTGCCAGCAAATAACATTTAGGATGTCCTTCTAAAGTGAATGACTTGGACAAAGGGAAGTCCTCCATTGGTTTGTAAAACTTCCACTTGTGGAGATTATTGAACCAAGGCTCCTATAGTCTATAGCTGGTAACTTCAAGCTCTGAGCTCTTTTTACATCTCCTTGGTTCTGGTGTTGGGACTACCAGAGCCACTCATGTCTTCACCATCTCACATCTCTCAAACTTGGTCCTGGATTATACAAAGAACAGATTTCTTTTGGTTTTTGTTCCAGATTCAATTTGCAGCTCACTGAATCTTGTTGGATACATAATCATAGGCTATTGATTCAAGCAAATACCTGATAAATCCAGGCTCTTCTGATTTTTCTTGTCTTCTGTTAAATAATGTTGTGTCACTTCAAGTTCATGAAATGGAAGTTTCAAGTTTCTTTTTGAAACAGGCCATTATACATTTCTGATATGTTTGTGGTATTTTTGTTTGATTTGGAATCCTGCAGCTATTTGATTTATAAATCAAGGGCTCTGAAATGTTCCCCCCACAAAGTGCACCATGAAACTTTGATGACTTAACCAGTGCTGTTGATTTTGGAGAACGGTGGGAGAGAGGGGGGGGGGGGGGTCTAACGGTTGGACTTGGCAAGCTAGGGGTCAACCAAGGCCCTTGGCTGACCCCCAAAAGGGGCCTATGTATTTCTACAACTTGCCAAGTCCAGCGTGCCAGTCTTGGTCAACCACTGTCGCCTCCGAATTGACTGGACACGATGGCTCTTCAAGCTCCCAACTTATTGTGAGCCTTTTCCTCTTCGCTTTCAAAAAACGTGCAATTGGAAGAAATTTTACTGACACACGACTTCGAATTTCCAACTTCTCCAGTGTCACCGAGCCAATTCCATCAGGCCATGTCCGATTCAAGACGTCATTGGGCCCGATCGAAATCGAGCTGTGGCCACGGGAAACTCCTCTAGCTTGCCGAAAGTAATTCCACTTTGAAACTAGATCGCTGCATAAGAAAAATTCAGAAAAAAATGTACTATTTCGAAAAATCAAATAAACTGACGGCTATTTCATCATGAAAGTTTTGTTCAACTTTGTCTGGAAGGCTATTATGAAGGTTTGATATTTCATCGAATCGTACCTGGCTTTATCGTTCAAACAGGGGATCCAACTGGATCCGGAAGTGGAGGTTCGTTTAGAGGCTTAAAGGAGACATTTCTGGTTTCGTATTCCCTTACGATTTCTCATACTCACCTATTAACAATCATTTACGCGCGTCCTCCAGGTGAATCCATTTACGATGAAGGGACTTTCAATGACGAAATCAATGCACGTTTAAAATTTACGAGGAGAGGACTTGTCGCCATGGCCAATTTAGGAAGTCCGAACACCAACACATCCCAATTCTTCGTTACACTGGGCAAGTTGATCTGCTTATCTCAATACGACTTGCTTCATCTCGAAAACCAGGGCTTCATTGATTTACAACAATTGGCACATGGGTAAACAGATCGGACAGAAGAATTACAAGACAAGCATACCATCTTTGGATCCGTGATCGGAGATACCATTTACAATGTAATGAAACTTGGCGAAGTGGAGATTGACAAGAACGAGCGCCCGATTCATCCACCCATAATCAAGAGCGTCGAGGTGATTGACAACCCGTTTCCAGATATCGTGCCCCGAATCACTTCTGCTCAACGTAAAGAACAAGCCAAAGCTCGAAAGGAAGCCAAGAAGGAGAAACAGAAGGAGAAAATGCTTGCAAAACACAAGGCATTGGGCCAAGTTGAGTCTAATTTTGGTTGGTTGCTTGTCTATGTCGAGTTCGGAGTGAACGAGTTTTAAAATTTTCATAGTGACCTGATGTCAATTGCTTGATTTTGTTTCCTCAGAAATAAAGGATTGCTTTCGTTCGCCGAGGAGGAGAGGCTCACGGAGACCTCGGATGGCTCCAAGAACCGCAAACTGAAAAGCGCTCATGATCTTGAAGCATCATCACAACTCTCACAAGCAGTCCTAGACCAAAGACCTTCGCTCAATCAGCTGAACTTGCCCGAAAATTTCAAGTCGACGCTTCCTGCAACAATACCAGAAAATCCCTTGAAAGTTCATGAAGCTCTTCGTGCCGTTGTTGGACGCGAACGTTCCGGCCCGTCTGAAAGTGGCAAAACAAATACCAAAGAGAGTCCAGTTGATGATTCTTCCAACAAAAAGGGCAAGGGCAAACATGAAAAAAAATCCAAAGAATCAAACACAGAGCTTAGTGCAGCGTAAGTCAAGCGGTGAATCGTGATCGTTGAGGGATTCACATACAGCATCTTTGATCACTGATCATAGTCTTTCCTTCGTATTTAGCGATCAAGTCAAAGCTGATATCATCAAGATGCAAGCCGAGTTGAAGAAGATGTCCAAACGACATGATTCCGATTCAGACAGCGAAGAAGACAAAACGAAAGGCAAGACCGAGAAAACACAGAAACGGAAAGTTACACACGATGGCCACTCGTTACTTGAGGAAGAAAGGAAGAAATACAAGGCTCGAGCAGGCGATAAGAAGACGGCAGGCCGTGGGGCTGCCAGCGAGGCCGAGTCGATTCTTGACAGCTTTAGGAGGAAGCTTCGGGAGGCAAAGCCATTGACTAAACCGGCTGAAGAGGCAGAGCGTGTCGACGGATATGCGGGCGAAGTTGATCCTACTCAGGATGGCGTGTTGGGAGATGTAGATGGAGACGATGACGGATGGATGGCCCAGTAAGTTTTAGAGCTGACCTCTGTCATTCTCAAGATTTCTTTTTTGCAGGAGGGTTTGATGGTGGTGATTGATTGTTACTTTGGTTACAACTGGTAAATGATGGGGGGTTATCTTATAGTACACTGCAATTCAGGAAAGATGCTACAGCCGATCTTCACAAAGTAGATGAATATGCAGTCATCGATCCCCTGCGGGAAAGAAAGGTAAGTAGATGTCCAAAGTTCCCTCTACTAGTTGCCCGTAATCATCTGACACTCGATACCAAATATTCCCGTTCTAACTGATCATGGTTTGGTGGCTCATCTCTCTCAGCTCACCCTCGATGAACTCGAGGCAAGAAAGAACGAGAAGCGATTTGACAATCGCCCCCAACCTCGCAATTCTGACCGGCGCAAAAAGAAATAAAACCCTCTAGATTCTTTAATCCTTACACTATTGTATCTGGCTATAAATTGATGGAGGTAGGGCCGCTACATATCCTAAATGATTTTCTAGAATTCGAATTGTATTAATAAGCTTTGAAATAGCACAAGGACGCCCATGGTAATCCGCCAAGGTTACTGCAAGCAGATAGTGCAATGTACATTCATATTTAGCTAGTCTGTAAGAGACTAACAAACCCTGGGATCACTTCATTGGCTGATCGGGGGGGGGGGGGTTGATGATGCACTGGATTGTGTTAAGAAGCCAGCAATAGACCTCCAACTCGATAGAAGAGAGGTACTTGCAGTTCGCTAGCTCACCACTATGTGGTATGTTTCGGATCACAACCTGGGCCTTACATTAATGCAGCACGATCAGCAATCGGTGACGTTCCACTTCGTAGTGGCTGGCGTGCCGGTCGGGCCCTCGCTGCGCTAGCTACCGGCCAGCGGCTAGCCGACGATCGGGTTCATAGCTTGTCCTGAGTCCACGAGCGATCCGATCAGAATGGTCACTGAGCCGCCTATGTGAAACTCCGTCGCCAGAGTGCTTAGGATTAGTTGTCTCCATCTTCCAACATAACCACCAACATCTCCTTTTTGATCCCAGCGATCTTTCTTGCGAGCAGCTCCATCATACCTCAAATCTGGTTTCTCTCTTCCATTAACCAACTGGAGGCTCCCGTATTTCCATTAAATACCAAACGCTTCTGGAAAGCGATCTTCTTTCAAACTTAGGACTAGCTCCATAATCAAGCACAACCGGCAGAAAGACATCCATCACTAGATACATACTCGAGATTTTATCTGACGAAACGCCGATTATCGGACTGAAATCCCCCAATAAGTTATCTATCTGTTCCCAGGTTTGTCCGATCACAGATAACTTATTCAGGATACTGCCTGCAGAAAAACAGCTGAAACTGACATGGACCATTTCATTCTTTCCCTTCTACCCATAGCAAAGCCGGCCTTGCTTTTTCTTTCTTCCAATTTAATACCAAAACCCATTTCACCTATCCTTAGCAGCCTGTCCCAGATGACTACTTTCGGAGACCTACCCGTAGAGATCCATCGGCTGATCGCCAACAGCTGCGGTGATATTGGACACGGTGCCTTGACCAAATTTTCCTTACTGAATCGATACTTCCAATCGCTTGCGCTACCCATGATGACAAGCTCGGCAACACTTGACCATCTGAAGGATGACGATCGCAAACTGCAACTCTTCACACACCGCTTCGCGCCTCTCCATCGAACCAAGCTTATCACCCTCTCACTCGTTCTGGGCCGGTCCCAAATCCCTGCGGCATATTCTCTCGACGACGGTCTTGATGAGATTTATGCAAACATCATCTCTCTCTTACCACTGTTGAAGACTCTTCACGTGACCATTAGCTCTGGATCTGACAAGGGCGCGCTGGAGGAGGGCGACTTTTCAATGACTCTGAAGGCAATGCAAAGGCTTAAGCACCTGGAAGCGCTCACCATCTGCCAAGACCAAGAAGATTCCTCCTCGGCTTCCTCGACATTTGTCACAGACATGCTCTTCGATCATTTACCGCGCTTTAAATGTTTACGAAAGCTGAAACTCGAGCGAATGGACATCGTCCTCCCATCTAATCTCACCGCCCAATCTGACCAATCAATCCACCTGACCCATCTGCATCTCCAATCCCTACGAATCTTGAAGAATCCCACCGCACACATCCGGGGAGACCTCTTTACTGAATTCATCAATTTCTTTTCTGAAAATATTGAATCCCTGAACATCAAAGATATCACACTTGACTTGCCATCTCAACCTTGCCAAGTCGTCGCGCCCCGACTCTACAACCTAGGTCTCTCATTTTCATCCACTCGATCCGGTGATCTGGCCCATAAAACGAATGACGAAGATTCTCTCGAACAACTCTATCGGCAAGTTCTTGAGAACTTCTCCAGAAGTTCAAGTCTAGAATCAATCAACATTTGCGAACCGGTCGGCTTGGCTCAATATAAACTGCTCCACAACCGTGGCGGCTTCCGGGACGTTTTTCAAGTAAATCGGTATCAAAAGAAATAAGAGGGAAATGATTTCGTGAAGGCGTCTTGAAAATCTTGAAAATTTCATGGAGATGTGTGCATGAAAGACTCAAATATGTTTAGGATATTTCTAGTTTGTTCCATGAGAATTTCTTCATCTTTATAGGTTGGTTTCGTTATTGGTAACCTGTTTTTGATTCAGGGATTCATGTCTGTGGCACGTAATATACATCAAAGCTGGCAGATCAGATTGAAACATACCATTGGGCCATCCGTAGCTTATAAAATTGTAACGTGTTGATAGATCTTGATGATATTGCACGGGACTAAGCAAGACTAAGATTGGCGGGATTGCCTCCACAAAGCGTTGGGGGACAGAGAGGGATAGAGCGGGAGAAACCAACCACAACGCGTGTCGAACTGAGTACAATTCTCTCGACGCGTCGGTGGCTTGTGTTCTTCTTTATGCGCCTCGTGTCAAGTGCCGGCGAGGTCAAGCACTATGGCTAGGTTCCAGAGTCCGCATCGTCCGAGCAGTCGCCCGCTGGACCTGCCCAATCAGTCCGAGTCCGACTGTCCAAACACCTGGATACACCCGGCTGATCGCTGGCGTTAGCTGGATGGTCCCAATTCTTGTGACCGATCAACAGAATCCTGTACTTCGCCTGAGGTCGTTCAAAAATAAAGGAATTCACAATGCAATTCGCAAAGATGGATGAATATGAATTACATAAATGAAAGCGCATGAAGATGTTGATGAACATAAGAAAAACGACGGGTTTAGCCTATAAACTATTTCTTTCCGTAGGTCTGCACTATGCAGCTTGAGCTACTTACAACAGCTCCTTATATATATCCGCCCCGTTCTCCAAAAGGTCTTCATCCAGCTTCCTCAACGTACGAAAACAAGATATAGCGATGCGAGGTGAAGATACTATTTCGAGTGAAACCGCCGGTAAGTGCAAGCCATCCAGTCCCAATCATCGAGATATGAATAAAGTGACAGTGGTTTGGTTCTTTATAGATCTCGTGAAGTCATATGCGATGCATTTGAAAGCTTGTCGGATAGATGTGAGATGCCACTTGACAGTGACGATGAATGCGACATTAGGCCTTGCTGGGGCGATACAGCTACATCAATCAACCCACATCAACTCAACAGCCCTGATTTAAAGTCTCTCCTGATCCAACTCGAAACAGGCATCCTACCTTTGTTACGACAGCAACTGGATGATATGTCGACATCACTAGACATGGCTGATCCAGATCCATCGAAATATCCACGCCCGAACTTTCGAGAGGCCATGGAGATCACTTCCCAACTCGGCCAGATGGTGGAGCAAATCAAATCTTCCTACGACAATATCGCTCTCATTGCACCCGAAGCGCCCAAAGACAAAGACCATCACTGTGGCCTGCTGAAAGGATTTAGAATTGATACTTTGCTAAATATACTGAGGCGTTTCATAGGAGATGACCTTCGCTGGGTATTTGATTATTTTAGATACAGCATTTCGACTTGGTTGACAGTGGAGGATTACGAATCCAACGAATTTCACCATAGAAAACTAATTGCAAAGAAGACTAAGTGCTTCAAGGTTTTGGACTTTCTAGCCCAATGGTCCAAGATATCTGATTTCGGAATTGCTCAAAATGAATGGCAACTTTCAGTAGATCGATTTGACAAGTACTTAGATAACTTAATCGTGCGAGTTACTCCGGCAATCCTATTCGAAGAGGAGACCGGAGACGTTGATGAGGCTCGATCGCATGCTAGCTCTTCAAGCGGATCGGGAGACGAACGAGCCGGAGATAGCTTATCGAGTACATCCGAAGGTGATACACCTGAAACCTCAGCTGATTCATCTTTAGCTGAACTTGAAGACAGCGAATCTGAAGACGATGGGCATTTGCCCAGAAGACCAAGTCCAGTCAACTCTTTAAGGCCGGACATCTTTAAGCTCGCCCAGTTGGCAGTACCGCTCCTCAAACTAGGCAGGATCTTCTTTTACAAGCTGTTGCCCACCCCAACAACCAAACCACGATTCACCACCAGTACTCGATTGAGTTCAGATGAGATGTCACCATTGATGCGGGAAGTTGTATCCGTTGGACGTTACCTGTGGCAACTTGGTCAAGAATTAGCTGGTGCTTATGATGGCGCTAGCCTTTATCATGATTCGACCCAGAAATACCTTGATACAGTTCTATATCATTTTGAATTCTCCGTGGAGCTACTGAGTCTTCATGTGATACCATTACCTGCCCAAGTAGGTTTCACTACATCTGAAGATCTCTTCGATGATTGTTTTTCTCTGTTGATTTCTCAATTCCGCCAGGCTGCTCAAAAACTCAGAGATGGTCTGGACGCATTTGCCTGTATACATTTAAGCTAGTTTTATTTATCGAGGCAATGCATTTTTACTTATTTTTCCAATGGTCATAAAGACCGCAGATCATCTAAAAGTCGTGACTCGTGTTCTTAGTGGAATGGTTTTAGCATTCAGGAAGAGACTCTTGGCGGGCAAGCAAGGCAAGACCTTGAGAAGATTGCAGGGGATGGCTTTGGATGGCTTTGGCTCAGGACCCAGGATGCAAGCACCTGAGTGGAGTGAGCACTGGAGGACTTCCCGTGCAAACTGGAGCCCTCACACAGAAGTCGATCTCGACTCGAAAACTCTAGATTCTCGCAGGGGAAATTGGTTTTCGAGGCTCTAGATCGGTTCTGGGGGACCCTCAGACTCCAACGGGAAGTCCTCCACTACCATCTACTAGGGTAGCTCACACGCGCGTAAGAGATGGTTTAAATGTCATTTTGATGTTAATTGAGTTGGCCGCAGGAACCGATGGTTTGGGGAAGCCTCTCAAACAAATTTCCTGGAGGGCCCTACAGAGCTGGCTAGAGCCGAAGAAACCAACTATTGCGCGTCTCGAACTGAATACAACTTACGAGTCCCTCGCTTGGCGGAGGGATGGGAAACGCGCTGGGGTCTCGTGTTCTTCTCCATTCACGCGCCTCGTATCAACCCTGTGCCCCTGTGTCGGTGAGGGCAAGGACTATGGCTCCAGTGCCAGCATTGTCCGAGCAATCGCCCGGTGGACTTGCCTAATCAGTCCGACAGTCCCGCCACCTGGATACACCTGCCTGGCGTCAGCCGGATCACTGGGCCCAGTCCCGGATGATCATGCAGGATGTGGGGTCGGGCAAGGGCGTAGGGCTCAGAATACGGTACTTGGCAAGCATGGGATCGTTGAAGAAAGGAAGGAATTCAGAATGCAGTTCGCAAAGATGGATGAGTATAAATTACATAAATCAAAGAACATGAAGATGTAGACCAGGTCCAGACATCTCTTAAAGTTAAAACCATATATCCTTGAACTTGCCCAGTCGGCAGTACCGCTCCTTAAGCTAGGTCGGATCTTCTTTTACAAGCTGTTGCCCACTCCAACAAGCAAACCACTATTCAATATCAGTAGTCAATTGAGCTCAGATAAGCTCTTGTCATTGATGCGGGGAGTTGTATTGGTTGGTACATACTTGTGGCAACTTGGTCAAGAATTGGACAAAGCTTACAATTGTGCTGGCCTTTTTTTGATTCTGCTCAGAGCAACTGCAACCCAATTCTATGTTATTTTCATTCCTCCAATATAGAACTACTGTCACTGAGTCTCCATCTGATACCTCTCACTCCCCAACTAGGTTTTGCTGCATCTAAAAATTTCTTCAATGATTGCTTTTCTTTGCTGATTGCACAACTCCATCTAGCTGGTCAAAAATTCAGAGGTGCTCTGAACACTTTTAAACTCACACATTTTAATTAGTTCTCAATTATGAGAGTATAAATGCATTTGTACTCATTTTTTTATAATGATCATGAAGACCGCAGATCCACAAGTAAACCTGCCAAGAGTAGTAGGTTTAGCGCTCAGGAAGAGAGTGCTGACGCGCAAGCAAAGCAAGACCATGATGAGATTGCAGGATGTGGCTTTTTGGCTTCAGGACCTGGGTCAACCCAAAGCCAACCCAAGACGTTCCGGAGCGGGTTTGGGCAGCCGGTGTCTAAAAACTAACCCGACAGACCCCGGCTTACTGCCTCTTACCTCAGAGCAAAGATGGCACAGACTTGTGGTGGGGTATTATCTATGCGGCAGGTGTGCTTTTCTCCTGGGAAATGCAAGTCCAGGATTTGACCTGTGGGCTTTAGAGGGACTTGAGACTTCTACTCATATGTCCATCTTGAGATTGATCATGCTTGCCTAAGGCAAGTCTTTGAGGATTGGGTAATACAACAGTTTTGTAAGAGGCTGGCATTCCAAAATGCTTATTTCAGGTTTTGTGAAAACCCAATGAAAAAAAAATGTGATAAGTTGTAATGTGAGAGAACATCTCCAAATCCCCCTGGATTTTTGTTGGCCACTGATGATGCAAGTAAGATAAGGTTTTTAGGGGGTGGAAGAGTCAATTTTCTTGGTAATTATTTTATCCATATACTTTCAACAATCAGATTAATGAAATATTCTCTCTTTAATGTAGGCTTCCAGTCTTTGATTTTGACCAAACTTTCCTTTGTTCAACCTCTTAATCTTCCAAAGTGTTTTGTCTTCTTAGCCTCCAAGACTTTACAGAAGAAGTTAAGAATGTAATAGATTGATGGGATTGATGATGATTGCTGTGGACATGAAAACTTCAAACCCAGAATACCAGGCCAGAGTACAGTCAAACCTGTCTAAGGGCACACCCCTTGGGAGAATGATTTATGTATGCCTTGAAAAAAGGTTATGCCCATATTTGGCAGCAAAATCAAGATTAGGGAGAAGCCCTTCACCATGACCTTGTGCAAGTTATGCACACAGAAGGGTATGTCCTTAGACAGGTTTGTCTGTAATTAGTAGGTGGACACAAATCTACCAAGGAAGAATATGTAAAGGATTTTATTTTGCCTTTGTCATCCTGGTCTCAATAATCATAACAACCTTGGTTACAAGAAATACAACTCAACATAGCAAAAGGGATATGAGAAAAGTACCAAAAACATGATTGGAGATAAATTTTACATTTGCTGTGTTTCCATCAAATCTGGAAATATTTTATTGGACATCTCGTTCTCATCATGAACATTTCAATTTGAATTCTTTAAAAAACGTTTTAATACAACTTTGGACCATCTACTCATCTCAAGCAATCACTTCTGCATACACAGGAAGAAAATAAAGTGAGGCTATGTATTAGAAACTTCAGTAACATGTAGTATGGGGAAGAAGATTCAAAAACTTGACCAAGCTTTTCTAAAACCATATTTCAAGCTTATTAATGCAATGAACTGGAAGCCTATGAGAAAAAAAAAGAAGCTGTATATACATGACATAAAGCTGTCTTTTGTCTAGGTTTTTCCTCTAATTGGAAGAAGTGACAGAAGACAAAAGAGAATTGTCTGTCGATTACGGGCCAAGCAATCCTTTCTCGAGGAGGAACCTTCCCACACAACTAATTATCGTGCCAGCGACGATCTTGTACGTTGCGGTGAGAGTGGGGATCAGAAAGAGCGGGATCCCGGATCGCTTGAGGTCGTTTGGATAATTGTCTTCTTGGCTGTGTTTTCCCCCATCAACATTGGTTTCAATATGGTTGAATTTAACCAAGACAGAATAAACAAAACAAAAAATCATCAGTATTTGCACTTTTAGATTTTAGATAGATGAAGTGAATTGGGAACGGACCGGCTTATCCTATACTTCCCGTCGCTTTCCTTGCGCATGTCGACTCTCGTGATGAAGTGGAGCTTGGCTTTGAGACAAGGGATGAATCTAGCCTCGAGAGTTTCTGTAAGATCTGCGACGTGTTTTTGAACCACGAATGAGCGGGGTAAGGATATCTTGTTCCCCCTTCCCAGCGAGGGAAAACAAACAAAACGAGTGGAGTGCTTACCAACGGTCGCATTGAGACGGTCTTCACTGAACATGAGCGCATGGAATTCGATCTTGTTGTTGACGGAGAAGACGCGACTAGATGTCACAGAAGAGCTGATGAGCAGGCCGGGATGGGAAAGACACAGATTGGGAAGGGATATTGGACACAAACAGTAGCTTATAGATCCCCTTAAGGTTGGCTCTTCCATGGGGCGTGCGGGGCTGGTTGAACATAGGATACATGATAAAAGCGTCCTCGGTAAAGTATCTGTGGATGGACATAGGAATTGTTATTTAGTTCCGGGTGAGAGAGGCCGGACAAGTGAGAATGATGAGCTTCTTTGAGCAAAACACTCTGTTGAAAGGACAGATCATTCTCCTCGAAGATTCCAATTTTAATGACCGAGTCCAAAGAAAAAAATAAGGTGGGCCTCACTTGTCAACGTTTTTGGCTATCTCGGCAGCTGCAAATGGCTCCGTGATCGATCGAACAACATTGGCAAGCTGAATAGTGCATTTCGCCAGAGTTGAAAGAAAAGAAACATGTGAGAATAATGTGGGGCTGGTTCAGAAGAAAGAGGTTGGACTGACTTCTTTGACTGGGTCGTCCATGGTCTTCTTGATAGCTCAGTGTTTAGGCTTGTCTAACTGCTCGGGTTCTATGACAGTTTAGTTAAGAGGGGAGGGGGAGAAAGAGGAGAAGTTGGGATGGATGGAGATGGACGAAGCAGTGGAGGGAGTCAGGAAAGGAGGATTCAGCTGGCGATGAGCGATCCATGTGAAATAGTTTTATAACAGTTAATGGAATGATGATGATATGTAAGCTGTGATGATAAGGTACAGCAGTTTGAGATGTGATCGGCACTAAAGATAAGTTATAACTCTAACGGTCAACCGACATGCCAGAGAGCACACCCAGCGCTCACATGTTTAACCTTTTATTAAGTTTGGGTGTGATGATAACAATCAGGGGATTATAATCAGCGGAAATAAGCCATTTCACTCAACAAACCGAGCCCTACCGAACCGAACCGAGCCTGTGATGAAAATACCAGAGCTCGGTGAATCGAGAAGCCGGCCAAGCCATCACGAGGTAGTACGTCTTGACGGAAGGAGAACAAGCTTGATGTATGCAGAACTTTTCACGGGTTCGTAAATACTATCGACAGCATCGCCGGAAATACCTCGATCCAGGATTCTTACACATTTATGTCCCGACTCATCAGATGGTCGTCACTCATAGTCATGGTCGCCCAGATGAGCTTAAGAGGGTTACGCTTTTCTTAAAAGAATCATTGGCAACTCCCGATCATCAGGCCGATGCCGACTACCCTGCTGAGTGCAACAATTTATAACAAGCTCTCTTAAAGTTGGATTGATATAAGCTCGTGGCTACCCGAGGCCATAAGAGCGGTAGCCCTCTTTGAGGGAGCAAGGAGAAGAGTCCCAGTACCGGCCTCGATTCTCATTGCAGGGCCCTCCATGAGGCACTCCCAAGGACTACCGTACCCCGGTTCATGGCAACAACTCAAGTTTATGGGATGAAGGGTGTGGACATCTAGCAGATCTAATAAATTGCACTGAGATAGAAGAAGACAAGTTGAATTTGGTCATCAATCTCGACTCGGTGAATATTGCTCAATGGATGTGTGTTCTCGCCGATCATAAAGTTCAAGGTCCAAACAAGCCACGATCCAAGTAAAAGTTCCCGACGAGAGCCGAGACGAGGGCGAGGACGAGCTTCAAGACGGCTAGTGCGGTGGCCAGGCCAGGAATTATCTCGAGACCGGCCCTTTTTAAATCGTTGGGATAGTTATCCTCTTGTCTTTAGAGATATACGAGTGATTTATATATAGAATGGTCGGAAGGAAGAATTCAGCCAGAGCTCAGTCCACCAATTGATAATTCTAACGATTGAATATATGTTGCAAAGAAAAAGAAGACAGACTTGCAAATCCTATACTTCCCGTCGGCCTCTTGGCGTAAATCGACCCTGCTGAGGAACCTGAGTTTAAACCAGACGGGAATGAACCTGCCCTGGAGGGTCTCGCTTAACTCTGGTTTAAGAATCGGGTTTAGGTCAAGTGGGGGGAGCGAGCCAAGTCGATCGAGATCAGCAAACTTCCACATACCCACTTGATGGACCATCATTATGGGTCCTGGCCCCCAGGGGACTTGTGGGCTGGAATCGGATACGTACCAATCGTTGCCTTGAGCTTGTCCTCGCTGAACATCACCGCATGGAACTCGATCTGGTTGTTGATCGTCAACACTCGGCTAGAGGAACATGATAGATTATTCAAATATTCTATCAGTTTCTTATTCCTATTTGCACACCAGTCTAAGGAGATGGCATCAAGACAAGCCCGTGATAAACGCCCATCGATCAATCTCATCCTCTCTCCTTAGGATTGGAGTAAAGGATTACGGTTACAGAACGAGCTAGAGGAACCAGCGTCCGATCCACTCAACAATAATTTGTAGATACCCTTCAGACTACTTTTCCCATTCTTGGTATGTGGTTGGTTGATCATCGGATAGAGCAAGTACGCATCGTCAGTGAAATACCTTCATTTTTTTTATGACAAAGCAATCAAATCCAAGTTACATTCAGCCTGGAAACAAACAAAAAAATAGAGAACGAAAGAAATGTAAGATGTGGGTTGTACTGCAGGAAGGAATGGCTCACTTGTCGACGTTGTGGACGATCTCGGTGGCCGCATATGGCTCAGTGATCTTTCGAACGACCTCAGGAAGCTACCGTCATACAACACCGCCAATCGCACACAGAGTTTTTTTTTTTGCTTAGTTACAGGAGAAAATAGAAAGAAAAAAATGTTATTGGGAATGTGGACATTGAGGACGAACTTCTTTGACCGGGTCTTCCATCTTCCTCGCAGTTATTAGGCCTATTTACCCAGGTTGATTTTCTATAAACTTGATTAAAGAACACAGACGACCCAAAAAGAAGCTGATGGATGAGTTGTATGGGTCAGGAGTCGGACTCGGGATTGGTTTCTAAACGATTACAGGAAGGTGGGGGAGGGAGGTAGAGAATTAGTGAAGTCTAAGGGATGAGATGCCAGGACTTCTTTTTCATCCACATCAATCAACCAAGTCATATGGCCAAAAGACACCACAGCCTGAATCAAACATTGGCTCTAAAAACAGACGTGAGCATCTGCTGCCATCGGTTTCTAGACGAGATGTTCAAGGTCGAACTCATCAATATCTTGATCGACACCACGTACAAGCTCTTATCAGAGCCGGATAGAACTTCAAGTATTATCAATGCTCGTCAAGAAACTTGTCTGTTAGTTTTGGCAGCGGCGCATGGCTTGAGTTTTCTGCATCCACAGCAAGATCAAGGAAGGATCTCTTCCCTGTCTGATATTGGATACGCGTTCCTCGATCCTGGGAAGCACGACTCTTATCAGATAAGACCTCTTCTGAAATCTATCCGGATTCCTTAGCGACATACAGAAATATCCCTCTATGAATCCATGGAACACATGGATGGGATGAATGCATCGGTGTGGGCCGATGACCGGGGTCGGATCACTCATGGTGCCGTCTTTCTGACCCTCGCTTTCAAGCGACCAGTCTACCGCTCTTCCCATCTTTCATCTGATCTATGGTTATATGGCTCAGCTGCCTCCCCCTGATCATCGGGATCGACCACATCTGTCCAGTCCAGTTTTTCCAGCCTGGTTCTTTGGTGGAGTCTGAACTGCATTCATTGCTTGGAAAATCAGAAAAACTTTTGCAGCCTCTTGACAATATTTGGATATCAGTCGACGAATCTGGTTGCGTTTTCTTTGAAAAAAAAATCACTGTCAGAATAAATATCCATAACTGTATTGTACATTTAGTCTTATGTTAAAAAGGAAGAAATGAAGCTCTAAGTTTTTTTTTTCCTTCCTTTGTTTTTTCTCTTCATGAGGATAGGAAACTAAGGAAAGAACATGTATGGGAACCAGACTTGGATAAACAGACAGATGAAATATGTAAAGAATATATGCACTCATGATAACTGTTCAAGGCATAGAAATAAACAGATCACAACATTTTGAATCAGACCATATTTTATGGACCCAATGACATGCTCTGGAATCAAGAATGGCATGGGGTATGTTAAAAGTAGAGGTCTTGCGCTGGGCTACACCCCCTTTCCCCTTCAATTAACCTCATTTGTTTTTGGAGCATGATCAATTCATCAACCTTTTTATTTAACAACTCAGAGATTCTGTTGTTTTCTTGATTGAGATGGGTGGTTTCATTTTGTTTATTTTCATGCACTTGATGGAGCTCAAGGGTCTGGTTGGATAACTGATGCTGCAAGTCAGACTTTGAGTTAATTTCCCATGTGAGCCGGTTTCTCAAATTCATATTTTCAGATTGGAGTTCTTGAATTATTCTTTCATGATTTTCACACTCCCTGGATCTTTCATCATTCATCTGAGCAACTTTTCCTTCCAAAAAAATGATTCTTAATTCTGCTTCATGTAGTCTGTTCTTATAACAATTTATTTCTTCCTCCTTACTGCTATTGTTGTGTCTCTGAGCATCCAAACCCAATCCTGAGCTACCCTTTGAATTAGATTCATCCATGCAAACCTTGGAAGATTCCATTGACAGACCCAGAAACTTATCCCCATGTATTTCCTCTTCTTTGGTTTGGAAATTTGTTCTGAGGTTCATGAAAGGTATGGAATCTGAGGAAGAAGAATTTCTAGAAGAATTTCTGGCTAGATCTACATCAGAATACATTTGTTGTTTGCCAGAAATATCCTTGAAGTCTATTGTGGTTGGTTGACCGGATTGAATTTTTGTTGTAGGCACTTGAATTTTATCATACTTGATCCTTAGGATCATCTTATCATGGTTATTGTGTTCATTGAATCCCCTGTTCAATTCACTCCATTCCAAATAAGAAATAGTATCTGCATCTGATTTGATGTCATTACAGGATTGCTTCTCTTGGATCTGATTTGAATAAAACTCTAATGATGCATCAGGGGTTGGTGCATCAACTGCCTCATCCCTAATTTGAATACATAAAAAAAGAAAATCAGCTCAAACAATTTATTGAATTAACGGGACCACTTACTCATTTATCTTTTCAAAACATGATTTTTGCCTTTCAGCACTCATTGTGAATGTCTTAATTTCAATGGCCTTCTGAGCTCTTTTTGATAGCTGAATATATGTTGGACAGCTTATATCACATACTTCACTTGGATGATGTATCATGTTCCAAAACCTTGCTCTCAATGATTTAATTGTGCGTGGTTCCCTTTTATTTTCATGTGCATATTGGTTGTACATCTGTTGGACATCCATCCATTCTTTGTTACACATTGGTTTTTTCTCCATCACTGCTTCTGAAAGAAAGTGATTATCAGAGATAGTGTATTCCTGTGATTCATATAATACACAATCCAGATTTTGTTTGCAAGATGATTCAGAGTCCTTTGCTTCTGCCATTTGAGATGTTGCAAGTGAACTTGAGGAGGAGATAGCTATAACAAAGAAGCATTAGAAATTTTGACAGAAATTTTCAATGTATACAGAAAAGAGACAAATAAAAATTGGAAATATTTGCACACCTGTTAAGTCTTGTCTGACATGTGAATTTGTGTGAGCTCTATTGTTCATATTTTGAGGGAAAGTAGGTTTTATATGATTGCTCATGTGCCCAAATTTCAAAACTGACTCGGTGTTGTAATGTGGAATTGAAGGCTGAAAAAAACTTAAGGAAGGTCCTCTTTCACCATTCATCCAAGTGTTTGAAATTTCAGGAATTTGCTTGAAATCCGGTTCACCAGTTGGAGGGCAGTCCTTCATTTGGTAATCATAAGGAGCCTCAAAAGCATCAGTAGTGTGATTTTCATTTTTTAATTTCCCCATTTGTGAATTTGTCTTGGTCATGGGGAAGTGTGGAGCTGAAGGCTGACAAAAACATGGGAAATTTCCACTCTCATCATTCAACCAAGGATTTGATATTTTCTGGAATACTGTTAAGATCAGTTTTACCATGTTGAGGGTGATCCTTGCTGTGAATAAGGTTCAGGAGCCTCAAAATGCTGAACAGGATATTGTTTATCCCATTTTTTCATGATGCCTTGGAAAATCTTGGAAATTGGGGGGTTTTTGAAACCCCTGCTGAGAAATATCATCCGGATTGTGAACAAAATGGTTATAATTGACACCAGGAGGGTTTTGAGGCATATATATCTTGCTATGAAGGTTTTCATGGTGTGTTTGATAGTCTTGGGGGTAGCAGGGATAGTAGGAGGACTGAGTAGACTTAGTAGGTTGGTGTGGTTTATGATTGGGAGGGTTGACAGGTTGGAAAACCCCTTGCTGGCAATGATGGGTATCCTCAAGAGGTTTCACCAAAGATGGTTGGAAATGTTGGTCTTGGTGGAAAGGTTGGCCAATGATTTGTTGGTGTTGGTCCAATGGGGTGTTTTGTTGGGACAAATCCATGTTGTTCAAAAGTCTTGTGGAATAATTTTGCACTGGTGGGTAGCATACCATGTTTTCCCCAATTTTACCATAGGTTTGAGGTTCTTGGCATTCAAAATTAAAGCCATCCAAGCTTGTTGCCCTTTTCCTGAAATGAAATTGAGGTCTGATGTTTCCTTTTATATTCCCCACTTGTCCATTGATAATTGTATCATTTAAATATGGAACATTGTGCAATTGAGCGTAATCTGGTTCATTATATAGATGTTTGCTACCCAAAAGCCCAAAATTTGGTTGAATTTTGTGTGGTTCATGGCAATAAAAAGTTGTACCAAACCCTTTGGGTTCACCCTGTAGGGTTTTTTCCCAATGATTTTTGTTGTGCTTTATTTGTTGTGGGGGGCTTTGAAGGATTTGGCTTGCTTCATACAGGAATTCTGTTTCTTGTGGTTCCAGTTTTTGTGCTGATAATGGTGATTTTTGAGCTTTTGGTGACAGTGTTTGTTTGGGTGGATTTGGTGGTTTCAGTGGTATTGATTCTTGTCCAATGGGGAGCGAAAATCTTCTTTCATGAGTCAGTCTTGAAGACCGGAAGATTGGAGGATCAATGTAATTATTTGAAGCATTTTTCCTAAATTCTGGAAGTCTTTCTCTGCCATCAACTCCTCTTTGGTCATCAAAGCTCACTATCATTCTTGAGTCAAGAGGTTAACGATATTTACAATGGTGTTGCAAAGACAAATATCGTAACGGGCTGACAGTGGCTAATGGGGATTAGGAGAGGCGGATTATTTTTTGACTGAACCTAATATATCCGAACTTTTAGTCAAACTAGAAAGACTAAGGCAGAAAGTTGCGGCAAGCATCCACTGAAACACTTAAATGCATTTCGGTCAAACCGGAAAGTAGGGAAATCTGCACCAAAACATGGCACCAGGGGTTGGCATATACATTATATGGTGCGGGTAAAATCGGCGCGACTGCGAGGTATTTACATAAATACGTTTGCAGTGTTTCGCGTGTGGACTCCCTGTTCAGTCCACAAAGTGGAAGCAGGAGCAGTGGTCAAAGCTTACCAAGTCCCTCCGAATTTCGAGGGATGTCGACCCGGAGGGACCCTCAGGACGATCAGCTGCGGGACGGCGTCCCCCTGCCAATCCAGGGGACTTGGTCAAGTTAATCCTTCGCGATGAAAAAACGGCCTAGCACAAGATTCATCGCATCCAAGCAGTGATTCAATACGCCACGCTTGCAAAGGGTGTGCTTGGCATCCGCCTGACTGACCGCCCTTCGCTTTCGCGAGGTTGACAACTGGAGTGATCGCTAAAGATGAGCTGGCGAGCAGGATACTTTAGTATTGATTCTTGTGCAACCGAGGCGCTCAGAATTAATGGGTGTAAAATCAAAGCACACAGGCGGAATACATACAAACTAGTTTGGACGATCTCCGTTGAGGCCAATCTCCGGTAATTGTAAACCCTTACAACAACAAAGGCGAATTTCCGCTGCCTGACCAGTGGGTATATCGTGCCCCGCTTTATGAGACTTTCAGCGGGATATATTTGCCTGGTCATAGCAACGATCGAGGACAGCCAAGGCTAAGAGATTGGATGAGGGTTCCGAAACCCTGGACAAGGAAAATCGTAACCACGAGCCAAGAGGAAAGAAATTCTACTCGTGACTGGAGTTAGCCAAGAGGAAAGAAATTCTACTCGTGACTGGAGTTGGGACTGATCTAATGCTTAAGAAGAGCACATCTGGGTGCCCAAAGTCAATTCCTCATCCGCTTCTTTGTCTATCAATCCTCATCCCTCTCAGTCTTCCACTTCACATCAGTTGCTCACGCATAAGGTTCTCTTTCATTTGATCAATCGCGACTTATTCAGCCAATCAATCAACTTTCGCTTCTCCAGAATCTCACTTTTCGAGTTTTCTTTCTTTTTCAGTGTACATACTTCTTGAATTATCAGCTATTTCCACTCGAACCCTCACTCATCCCAACCCCACGCCAACTTCACCAGAGATAAATACTCTCAAAAAGCCGTCTATAGAATGTTTTCAGCACGATCAATTCTCATCCTTTCCGCGATGCTCGCTTCAGGTATGTGATGAGTCTTACTGATCTCTCAAGCCGAAATTTCATCCCGTGAACAACATAACCGCAGTGATGCTGACAAGATGCATTGATTCCATATTTCGCAAATTCAGGCATTCTCTCCATGCCATTGACCGCTGAAGAAAGCCGAAATGCGTCAGTATCCATTCCATTTTGAGTCAAGTTGCTGCCAGATGATTTGGAGTTTCATGCGCTGATTAACCACTTTTTCTTCAACTCTTGATGTTTTCTCACTAATAATTCTCAGTCATGCGCCAATCCTAGCTCGCATGGAATACCCGACCCACCCAGAAGCGCATCTTTCCTCGCGTTCTTCCCTAGGCCGAAGGAACCCTACTTACGGAGGAGAATACGCTGGCTACGGCGGAGGAGCTGGAGGTGGTTTAGGAGGCGGTCTAGGAGGCGGTCTAGGAGGCGGTATCGGAGGCGGTATCGGAGGCGGTCTCGGAGGCGGTCTCGGTGGAGGTCTCGGTGGAGGTCTCGGTGGGGGACTCGGTGGAGGGATCGGTGGAGGAATTGGGGGAGGAATTGCAGGAGGAATTGGAGGAGGAGCTGGCGGTGGCGCCGGAGGAGGAGCCGGAGCCGGATATGGAGGGGCATCCGGATATGATGGTGGGGCTGGATATGGAGGTGGCGCCGGATATGGAGGAGGAGCCGGATATGGGGTGGAAGTGCAGGTGGAATCGGAGCCGGCGTGGAGTTGAGCCGCGAGCTACGAGGGGGTCGGGAGCGGAGCTGGCTATGAGCGGTCGGAATGGGAGCAGCTATGGAAGTGGGGCCGGCGCTTATGGAGGAGGTGGCGGTGGTGGTGGTGGTGGTGGTGGTAGCTACATGTGATCTTATGTGGGGCATCTCATCTCATCTCATCTCATCTGCTATGGACACTGTAAAACCTTTCCTGTAAAACGTCATCCTTTAAAATATGGAATCTTTTTGCTAAAAATATGGCCACAAAGCTGCGAAGACCTTTTGGCCTGAATGGTTTTGCCTTGCACGCGTCCTTGAAGAATTTTTCTTCTGTTGTTGAGCGAGCCCTCCTCTGGCAAAGTGCTCAATATTATCTGCAACCTGCACTGTCATCACATCGGTATTGTTGTATCTGGATAATCAGATTCGTATTCAGATTCTTAACCAAATATCAGAGATTCTCTTTTTGAGGGTGGCTAAGTCACTTGCTTCATTTTTCTTTCCTTTTTGTGTTTACTTATGATCATCAATAACGGCTTCCCCATGAAAATTTATGGCCTGTACCATAGCCCCCCAACAAATCTTCAATTTCAATTTAATTGAATTTTGGGGTTTTCATACACCAAAATTCAACTTTGGTGTTGCACCAGAAATCCAAAAATCAAGGATCACCTATGGTACACCATTTCTGCCTGATGCAATTTCCAAGTTGGAAAGAGGACATTAATACAAAATTGGTGGCTATGGTACAGGCCCTTATATTCCTATGCTTTTGCTTTTTTTGTTTTATTAAAATTTAAATTGCTCAGGTTTTGCATTTTTTTTTGGTTATCACAAGCCCTTGCAGTGAAACATTTTTTGTAATTCAGCTGGTTCCTGTAAGAATTTCAACAAATATATTATTGATGATAATATTGAAAGGCTTTGTGATGATTGGTTTCTTACTGTATTACCCTATGAGAGAAATCATATGATGGTGATATTACCCTAACTTTCTTCCCCCTTTTGCTCAAAGATGCTTTCCAGATCCTAGATTTTGATCAATATGTCAAACATGGCCAGATGAAATTTGAAAACCATCCCGTGGATGTTTATTCTATTTTCCCAGATTTAATCGTGTATGATCAGAGGGCTTTCAGGCCAGCCACAAAGATCTCTATGTCACTGGCTGTTTTCTGGGATGAAATTGTTATGCTGAATTGTGGGCACATGCTGCAATTTCTTCCATAACTTGATTTGGATTTCAATTTTTTTTACCACTCCTTTCTCACTCCCCGTTATTTATGATCAGGAACACAGGCGAACTAGTTTGAACGATCGTCGTTGAGGCCAATCACCCACAATGGTGAACCCTTACGACAAGATTATAAGGCGAATCTCCGCTGCCTGATCAGTATCCATGTCGTGCCCCGCCTTGTGAGACATTCAGCCGGACTTATCTACCTGGTGACAACAGCAATCGCGGATAGCCAAGAATCTGGATAATGGATGAGAGTTTTGAAACCCTACATAGACAAGGGAAATCATCATCACAAGCCAGGGAAAATGATGTCACACTCCTGACCGGAGTTGGGACTGAGGATTGCTTAAGAAGAGCACATCTGGCAGGTCGATTCCTCTCTCATCCAATTCTCATCCCTCTCAGTCTTCCACTTCACATCAGTCGCTAAGACAAAAGGTTCTGTTTCATTTGATCAAACACGGCTCATTCAGCCAATCAATCAACCTCTCGCTTCTGCAGAATCTTTTCTTTTTTAGAGTCATCAGCTATTTTCATCCGAATCCTCACTCATCCCAACTCCACGCGAAGCTCACCAGAGACATACCCTCAGAAAACCGTCTTGAGAATGTTTTCGGCACGATCAATTCTCATCCTCTCCGCGATGCTTGCTTCAGGTATGTGATCAGGCTATAGCTGAGCCTGAACTTACATCCTTTGAAAGGCCTAAGCGCGTTGACGCTGACAAGATGCATTGATTCTAAATTTCGCAAATGCAGGTTTTCTCTCTATGCCATTGGCCGCCGAAGAAGGCCGAAATGCGTCAGTATTCATTTCATTTCAAGTCAAGTTGCAACAGAATTTGGAGTTTAGTGCGCTGATCAAACAACATTTCTTCAAACTGCTGAATGTCTCAAACCAAAAATACTCAGCCATGCGCCGATCCTAGCTCGCATGGAGCACCCGACCCACCCGGAAGCGGATCTTTCCCCACGCTCTTCTTTAGGACAAAGGAATCCTACTTACGGAGGAGAATACGGTGGCGGTGGCTACGGCGGAGGAGCCGGAGGTGGAGGTGGTTCAGGAGGCGGTGATGGTGGCGGTTTCGGCGGAGGAAGTGGGGGAGGAGCTGGAACCGGATATGGAGGTGGAGCAGGAGGAGGAGGAGGTGGTGGTGGTGGTGGATATGGAGGTGGAGCTAGATATGGAGGTGGAGACGGATATGGAGGTGGAGGCGGATATGGAGGTGGAGATGGAGGATATGAAGGTGCAGGTGGAATGGGAGGCGGCGGTGGCGCGGGAGGAGGCTACGGAGGGGGCTCGGGGTCGGGAGCTGGCTATGGAAATGGGGCCGGCGGTTATGGAGGGGGAGGAGGAGGTGGTGGTGGCGGCGGCGGCGGCGGCGGTGGTGGTAACTTCATGTGATCTTATGTGGGGCATCTCAGCTCAACTCTACTCAGCTCTGGGCACTCTGTAAAACCTTCCTTGTAGACTGTCATCCTTCAAAACATGAAATCATTTTGCTGAACATTCTGGCCATCCAGTCGCCTAGTATGTACTATTTTTTTTTTTTTTTTTTTAGTGCTGATTGTTTTGACATTGCGCACTTTAAGTAATACGTTCTATGTAGATACACGCGATGATGTTTTTGAACAATTTTTTGAGAATACAACTTAATAAAATAATTAATGGAGGACTTCCCGTCGCCATTTAGAGTGCTTTTTAAGCACTCCCCAGTCCTAAATTTACACCTCAATCATAATTCCAACCAGCTCACGTGAGAGCCATCTTCCCAAGGCTTATGAAAAAATATTTTTTTATATCAAAAATTAAGATCTTGGGGGTGTAAATCAAATTCTGGGAGGGTTGTAAACCGCGACGGGAAGTCATCCAATAGTATTTTAATCTTCTAAATTAAATGAAACTGAGTGTTGAAAACTGTCGAGATTTGATGAAAAAGAAGAAGAAGAGAAAGATAGACGAAAAACGAAATAGAAAAAATGAGATAAAGAAACGGTTCCGACTCTTTTTTTGGGTCTGAAAATAGGGAAGGCCGAACGAGTCCGACTTTCCACACTCTGCGGACCAGGCAGAGTGTTTCGTGGTGCCCTAAACCACAAACCCTCGTTTTTGAAGCAGGGAAAAGTCGAACACATCCGACCAACTCTTGTATCCAGCCCAATACCCTACCGATATTGAATTAATTGTTTTAGTGGAGACTAGATTGATGACTGAAGAATGCGAAAGAAATTGATGACTCTTTTGATAACTTTTAACCAAAGAAATTGATAACTTTTAAACAAAGAAAATGATAACTTTTAACCAAAGGAAGTGATGACTTTTAGACCAAAGAAATTGATGACTTTTAACCAAAGAAAAGGATAACTGGAAATGTTTATTAGTTTTTATTTATATGTTTTTTTTTTTTTTAATTTTCTTTTTGTTGTAAATAATGCTTCAGATGATTGAATCTATGAGTATCGATGATGAATTTTGAGAGGAGATCAAAACATTTGGGAGTGTCGAGTAAACTCTTGACGGAGTTGACATTGATTTTGATTTTGTTTGATGTGAGAGAGTTTCGAAACACTTTTCTTTGACGATCGAATTTTGGACAGTAAATAAGGAAATGCTTGACGTCTTCCGGAGAATTGCAGAAGTTGCAATCAGGAGATGCGAGTTTTTTGATTGAAAAGAGGTATTTGTTGAGAGCGCAATGGCCAGATCGAAGTTGGAAGATGATAGAACCCGCGCTTCTTTCAAGTTGATGGATGCTTTCAAAAATTTTGAGAGGAATAGTGGAGAGACGGATGTTGTTACGATTAATGGAGTTCTTGTTTTTGTTGAATTTGAATTTAGCTCGAGCAATATGTTGAATGTTTGCTAGCGAGCGTTGTTGATTATCGAGATGATTTGGATGAGAATTTAGAGTAGCTGCCTTGGCGAGTTCGTCAACCTTTTCGTTTTCGAGTATGCCGACATGAGCTGGGCACCAGTGAAGACGGATGGGAATGTGACAGAGATTGATAATGATTTTGAATTTGTTGAAGATGTTGACAAAATTGGATTGATAAGAACAAGGGAGTGGAGGATGAGAAATAGAATAGAGAGTGGCTTGATTATCGACAAAGAAGTTGATTGGCGGAGTGGAGACGGAATTTGAAGGAGATGATAAATGACGATTGATGAAGATGTCCAGACCGATAATGATGGCTTGGACTTCTGCTTCAAACGCAGACGATCTATCAGAATTGCTAATGCGGAAAGAGGATTGGGTGGAGTTGTCCAAGATCGCTGCTGAGCCGGCCCCGTTTTCCGGGATATTTGAGCCATCCGTGAAAATAAGGTGTTCTGAATTTGATTTAGAATCATTGATTTGGGATTGAACGATCGATTTTATGTCTTCTTTTTTGATTTTCAGATTGGAGATGGGGAGTGAGAAATCCTCCCAGGGGTTGACGATATTGAGAAAACTTGAGAATTTTATTACTAAAAAGCCAAAACCAGACTGGAGTTGAAAAACAAATTAGAATCTGAATCAAGAACCAAATGAAATGAGAATAGAAAAAAGAATTACCACAACAGAAGAAATAATCTTAAGAGAGACAACTGAGGATAGGAAGACAAGGTATAGGACAGTGCAGGACACAAGACTAAGAGAGGAAGGAAGATGTTAGTTGAGATCGACTGTTGAGGAAGAATGTTCGGGTTATTTTCTCACCAAAGTGGATTCTGAAGTGATCCAATTGATGATGATAGGATGTAATGGTCGGAGATTGTAGAGTCGAAGATCGACTAATAACAGGAAGGGGAAGTCGACAAGGTCGAAGGAAGTCGTAGGAGAATGTGGAGTATAGGATAGTGGTAAATGGAGGTAAGGTTCGGATAAAGGAAAAATGAGGAGAGAGCTGATTGAGGATCAGAAAGGGAGTGAAGATCGGATGAGAAGAGTGAGGAAGAAGCTATGGAGGAGGTTCCGGAGATGGAGTGATGACGGTGAGTATTAGGTTTTGGAGTGAGATTGAGTTAGGTTTAGAGTTGAGATTTGCTGCGGGTTTCAGATGAAATGAGGAGGAGATGAGATTTCACTAAAGGATCACGAGGATTGCAACACCCCCCTCAATTTGATGAGAAAATGACTTCTACCAGAAAGCACTTTTCCTTCAGGAGAGAGAGAGATTCTGAGGAGCTGGCTTTGGTTAGAGAATCAGAAGTCATCTCTTCAGAGGGAATGAGTTTGACAGCAATTTCTTTTTTGTTGTATAAGTCACGTAGCCACTTAATCTTGATGTCAAGGTGTTTGGTTTTTGAGTTTGATCCAAAATTTTTGATTTTTTCGAGGAGTCCTTGATTGTCTACGTGAAATTGTGTCGGATTGAGTTTTTTGTCGTATAATTCTTCTATTAGAAATTTGATCCATTGATTTTCCTGTACCCCATCTGATAATGCATTCAATTCAGCTTCGGTGGACGATAGAGTGATATTGCGTTGTTTCTTGCTGTTCCAGGAGACTGGACACGCTTTCCAGAAACAGATTGAGCCGCTTCTTGAAAGTCTTGATTCGAGGTCGTCTGCCCAGGTTGCATCAGTGAAATGTTGAATGGAGTTGGCAATGTCTTCAGAGTTAGGGCGCAGAGTGAATACCTAAGTATTTAACAGAATAGGAAGTGGGGATGGAGAGGTCGCCGAATTTGAAAGGACGGATGTCGACTGAATTATGAGTGAAGATCATGAAATTGGCTTTTTTTCTGTCAAAGATGGCATTATGCTTGACACCCCATTTGAGGGATCTATTTCCTTCTATTTCAAGCTTTCGAATTGAAGTTTCAAGGTATTTTTCGGCGACAAGATGAGTTACATCATCTATAAAGCCTAGAGAAATAGCGTCTTGATTGAGAGATAATGGGTTGTTGATAAGAAGACCTGAATTGTAGATGATATACAGAATGGGAGAGAGGGGGGAACCTTGTGGCAAGCCACATTTAAGCGAGAAAGGTGAAGATAAACAGTCGTCCATTTTAAGCGAAGTTGTTCGGTTGGAAAGGAAGCTAGAAATGATGGAGAGGATGTAGGGAGGGGCGTTTTTAACTTTGAGGTTATGAAGGAGGCGCTCTTTAATGACTGTTGGAAAGGCGGATTTGACGTCTAGAAACAATGCCGAAACAATTTTCTTTTCCCGCCACTTCTGACGGATCCAAGAGGTAAGGAATAAGTTTGCATCATCTGTGCATCGTCCTGCTCTTCCTCCAAAATGACCTTCAGCTAGAACCTGATTGTTCTCAGCCCAGAAGGTAATTTGTTTTGTTAGAATGCTCTCAAAAATTTTGCCTAAGCAGGATAGAAGTGCGATAGGGCGATAAGAGCCTGGTAAAGAATATGAATCTTTATCAGCTTTTCTGATGATAGCTGTTGTAGCGTGGCGCCAGAATAAAGGGAAATAGCCAATTTTAAGACAAGAAGAAAAAAGATGTATAAGCAATGGAGTAAGGGATTCCTTACCCCAAATAATAAGTTCGTTAGCGATGTCATCATGACCTCGGGACTTCTTTTTTGGGAGGTTTGAAATGACATTGTCAATTTCAAATTGAGAAATCGAAGGAAAAGTAAAGGGGGAGTTGAGATTCATAGGAGGGATGTCGGAAAGGGAACAGTTGATAGGAGCGTCGGACGTTCCTTTGAAGAGAAGGGAAGCTTGTTCTTCCTTATTCGATGTTAGAATTTGTTGATCATTAAGAAGGGGAGCAACACTTCCGTTGCTATTCGGCTTGGTAAATTTGTAGGCTTTGAATAATTGAAAATCATTACACTCGGCAAGAAATCTTCTCCAATGATTTCTCTTCAATTCAAAGACTTTTTCTTTGAAAACCGATTGCCAGTAGTGGAAGCAGTCGCAGGATTTGGTTTATTTGGAAAGGAGCATCCACTTTCTCGCCCTGTTTCTTTTTTCAGCTAAGGGAGCAAGGATCTTGCTATCCCACCACGGTTTGATTTTTTGAGGATTGTTTTTGACTATTTTTTTCTGGATATCTATAGAATTTTGAAGAGAAATAGTTAGTTTTTCAACCAAATTATCAATGTCTTGAGGGTTGTGAAGAGAGTGTGTCGGGATGGTTCTAAGGAATGTGTTGAGATCAGAGATGAATTTGATGATGTCGATTTTTTCGAGATCGCAGGAGAGTCGGTCGTTAATTTGGATGTTTGATTGGAATGAGAGTGTAAGATAGATTGATTGATGATCAGATCCATGGTTGTTGGAGGAAGTGGTGCAAGAATGAACAAGTTTTTGTGACAAGAAGTTGGCCCATGTTAGATCGATTGTTGTCGGACTAGATCTTCGGGTTAAAAAGGTAGGTGTGCCTTTTTCAGAGATGATTTTGAATCCTTTTTGACCACAAGTTTTGATAAGGATTGATGATTTGCGGTGGGAGTGAGGATAATTCGAAGTGTTCCAGAGTCTGTTGTGGAGATTGGAGTCGATGAAAATGAACGAGGGGATTTTTCGATCGTTGAAGGTATTTAGCCAGGTTTCTAGTTCAGGTAGAGCATCGAAATTCTTGGGAGGGTTATAGACATTGATGAGTCTTATTTTCTGGATGTTATTGATGTTGATATCGATATCAACTGCTGATAGGATACGAGAGCCACCAGGAAGAGGGTGGATGCGTTCGGAGTTGTATTTCTTGTTGATTGAAAACAGATGCGATGTTTGTTTTGATTAGAAGATGGAGAGTGATTGTGGTCGAGGAGACAGAGCCAATTAGAGTGGAAGGGAAGTTTGAAAGAATGCGGATTGATCCATGGTTCTTGTAAGATGAGGATAGATGAGTTTGTTTCGGTGTTCAAGACGCTGAAGGTGACATCGAATGAAATTATGGCAATTTAAATTGGAGAATTTTGAAAAAGGGGGTCTGAAACATCTGATGAAGGAGACGGAGGAAAGGAAAGGGGAGAAGAAGAGGAAAGGGAAGGAATTAAGTTTGGGTTGTTGTCGTTGTACCTATACATGATTTAAGATATTTTTTCGGAGGGATTTAGATTTCAAGGGACATTTGATACTAGTGGAGGAGTGTTGAAATCGGACGTTATCTTCATCCACTTCAATGGGAAGATTGAGACTTTTTTCTAACTGAATACATTTGACGCAGGCGTCCTTATTGTCATCAGAGGTGCATTCTCTTGAGTTATGGCTATCGCCACAGAATTTACACATAGGAGGATTCTTGCATAATTGAGCGGTGTGTCCAATGTCTAGACATTGGAAACATTGCAATGGGGACTTCTTATAGTGGGCGCCTCTTAAGAATAGGAATTTATAGAAAAGACCACCTTTCTCAACTTTTGAGAGAGGTTCTTATCCAAAAGATTAATGATCAACGATCCATGAGATTGTTTTTTGGAGTGTGGATCTCCAAGCCAGCGGATGGAGAGAACATCTTTAGGATCGATGTTATTTTCTTTACATAATTCAGAAGTTGACGATTTATTGGCGGGAGTGAAAGAGATTGGCATCGAGTGGACAATAACTGGAAAAGATGACGGAGGAGTGATGAGGCACGGATCACAAAGATGGGTCCATTTATGTTTGTTCTCGAGGAGCCACTTGGCTGCGAAGCGCGATTGAGTGAAGAATTTGAAATCTCCGGAAGGGAGGGTTGCAACACCCTTGATAATGATGGGAGTACTGTCATCAGTTTTGGCATCAATGTCTAATAAGACCGTGTTTACAATTTTTGTAATTTCACAGGGAGACTTTTGAAAAAAAGGACAAGATTCAGGAACAGTTTTTCGAATGACAAATGAGGCAGGTTTGAACTCATTAATAACTTTCTTGAGTGGAGGAGGACGGGTGATTGGCTGCGTGAGGACATGGATAGGCTTATCTTTGATAGCACTGGTCCAAGCAGCTATCGGAGTTCTCTTAGAAGGGGGGGAGGAATGAATTGATTTCTCGATTGAATCAAGACGGGATGTGATCTTCTCTAAGTTGGCCAAGGTTTGCGTCGATACCAGTTTTTCTACACCGAGAAGACTAGCAGCGACCTTAACCTTATCGGCCGTGATGATCACACTTCCATCTGGTTCGGGATGGGAAAGAATTTCAGACATGAATTGAAAAAATCCGTTGACATGGGGATCATTAACAGGATTATGTTGAGACTGGTGAAGGGATGGGTTGTGAGAAAAGTCTTGTTGGGTCGGAGTGTGGGGAGGGGAGGGGTTGGAAGACTCGATGTCTTCCATATCGTCATGCGAGACGATACGCTTGGGAGGCATAGTAAGAACTATGCGGACCCAAATAAGGTAAGAACCTTATGGGAGAGGAGAAAGAAGCTCTAAGATCTGCAGTCGGAAGATGGAAAGGGAGAAGAGAAAAAGGGATAGGGACACCGATATGATAGAAAAAGAGAAAGGGGAAACTGTTTTTTTTTTTGTTTTTTTTTAAAGGGTTTTGGATTTTCAGGAGAATGATTTTGGCGGAGTTGAAGGTGTCGAAATTGAATAAATTCAGGAGAGCTTCCAGTACTAGTATGTACTATGCTGAAGTTCATGAGCTTCTGGCTTGATTGCTTTGACCTTGCACGCGCCCCATAAGAATCCGAGAGTTTAGGCTCCCCTGTCTTTAAATTTCAATTGCATCTTATTTTGTCGAGCGGGTCCTCCAAGTTGTTCAAGAACAACAACTTGCACTCCAATCACATTCGTATTGTTAAGTCTTGAGGACCAGCTTCGCCTTCTCAACCAAATATCAGAGATTCTTTTTTTGGTGGTGGACAATCAACTTGTTTCAGTCTTCTTTCCTTTTTTTGTGTAAGTAGGATCATTGATGGCTTCTCCATGAAAAATTAAAATTGAACCTCCTCTAGTTTTGCATTTTTATCTTATTTTGGTTTGCACAAACCCTTGTAGTGCCACATTTTTTACAATTTCGCTTGTTCTTGTAAGAATGTTGATATGATTATTACAATTTCCCATGATCAGATGGTCTTGCTTGATCAGGTCAGCCGAATAGGTCTCCCTGGTTGCTTTCTGGGATTTTATGCTGATTTGTGGGTGGCATTATGCTGGCTGTATGACTCGTTTCCTGATGTTGGTCATGATCTGGAGTTATGTATTTGAAGAATTTGAAGGTCGGGGCTCCAGAACCCCATGTGTTTATCTCAGCCACAGTCCAAGTCTGCAGCCGACCCCCACAGATTAACCAATCTCACAGCAACCACATTCTACTGCACAGCCCCACCGAGGAACACCAATGGGCAACCACCAAGGTTCATCAACTCAGTCGCGTAGGGGGACACACTCCAGTCGATCCGGATCACCAGTCTCCTCGATCTCATACGACTCAGCCGCCCGAACGCCGACGAAGAACCAGGGCAGTGGCAGCAGGCTATTCAGCCCGTTCCGAAAGAAGGACACGTTACGCGGACTCAGTTCGCCGATCTCGCTGCGTCTGCTCGGCTCATCGGCAGCCTTGGATGTGGGCGAGGGACCGAGGCGGGACGAGTTTTGGGCAGATGGACAGTGGTGGAGGGGAGGGAGGGACGGCCGGCCAGCTGAGGGCCAGCGGGTCGAACGGAGCTACGCGGACCGGACGATGATCGACTGGGCGTACGAGGACCGGAAGGAACGCAATCGACTTCAGAAACTCGATCGACTGCCCGGCCTCCGCGGAATCCTCGCCAGACTCGTCAACCTCACCTGGCCCTGGATCGGTGTCATCCTGGTCGGCGCCATCGTCGGCCTCGTCGCCGGCTCCCTCGACACTCTCGCCCTCTGGCTCAGCGACCTCCGTGACGGGAATTGTGACTACGCCTTCTACCTCAACAAGAACGCATGCTGCTCAGGCTTGGAACGTCAGTCCTTCGCCCATCACTTCCCCTAGATAACTCGATCACTCACCCGTCTTGCTATCTTTTCCTTTCGTGCTCACTCAGCTCATGAGATCTGCTACGAATGGAAAACTTGGCCTCAAGTCTTCAAGATCTCAAGTGCGCCGATTGCATCCTTCTCACACTATCTAGCATACATTACCAGCTCCGTAAGTCACACCGAAGCCCAGTGTAATACAGCTAGATTTACTCCCAGATTGAATCATTTCATCCTGAAATCTTACAAAATCATCTCACTTTTCATCATCAAAACAGGTCATGTTTGCAGGCGTGGTTGCCTTTCTCGTCAAATCCTTTGCACCATTTGCATTCCACACTGGAATGTGAGTTTGTTTTTTCTTCTCCGAAAGAAGGCTATGTTAGGAGAATTACATTCTCATATCACTCGTCTCTCGCAGTCCTGAAATTAAGGTGATCCTGTCCGGATACACATTCCAACACTACTTGAGTGCCTGGACCTTGGTCATCAAAGCCATCGGCCTAGTAAGTTGATCAATCCATCTTGAGCATCGGGAAGAGGAGGAATAACTGACAAATGCTCATCTAGGCATTTGCGGTTGGCTCGGGCTTATCGCTTGGAAAGGAAGGCCCATTAGTTCATGTGGCATGTTGCGTCGCGAACCTGGTCCTCCAGAACTTCAAGGTCTTCCGGACTAACGAAGGTCAGCGTCCACCTTCCTCCTGCATAGCTAGGGGCTTGGGATTGATGTGATCGGTCGATCGGTTTGATGGCTAGCCAGAAAACGCGAGATGTTGTCCGCCGCGGCTGCATCGGGTGTCAGTGTTGCCTTTGGAGCTCCGCTTGGGGGAGTACTTTTTGTCCTAGGTTTGATAAATTTCCGCTTGTTCTAGCGAATGGAACTCGTTTTTTGACTATGGACAAAACTGACTTTTCCTCTGGGCTTATCACTTTTGTTGTTGCACAGAGGAACTCTCATTGGCTTCATTGCCCCAACCGACCTTATGGAGAGCGTTTGTGTGTGCAATCGTGGCCACGATGACCCTTCAATCCTTCGACCCGTTCAACTCGGGCAAACTGGTGCTCTTCCAAGTTCAGAGTGTCGGGCAGGTATGGCGGACATTCGAGCTAATCCCCTGGGTGTTTGTGGGACTCTGTGGCGGCCTCTTCGGGGCCACCTTCATCCGAGCGTCCGTCATTCCTACTCCTCACGCGACTTGCTTAGGACTGACTCTTCTTTCTGGTGCATTCTTGCTTTCTGTCAACAGAAACATCGAATACGCTAAGATCCGCAGGTCATCTGGCTTGGCAGATCACCCCATCAAAGAAGTCCTGGCCGTCGCCGGCTTTACCGCCCTAGTTTCTTATCTGCTATTGATCACCCGGTCCGTTGTTGTTTAGGGCATCTCTTAGCCTACTTTCTCTGACCGTTAATATCTCTTTCTTCTCTTTTGGAGGGCCGATCAGGTTGCCTACCTCTCAACTGGTGGAGGCGTTGTTTCAGGAATGTGGTGCTAGTAATTTGGACGTTTTTTCGTTTTGCGAGTTGAGTGGTACTTCCTCCAGCATTTGAAATAAACAAAGTCAAAATTCAAAAAAAAGAAAAACCGCTCAAGCACATTTCATCCAGACGAGACTAACTAACCAAGCCAAAAAATGGGATTCAGTTCAAACCAAGTATTCTCGACGGTGATGTTGCTCTTGATAGCGTCGGTAGCGAAAGCCGTGATAACATCGATGACGTTTGGGATCCAGGTACCGTCTGGGATCTTTTTGCCAGCGATCAGCATCGGGGCTTGCTTCGGACGGGCAATTGGAATGGTGATGCATAGCTGGCAGCAGGCCTACCCAAGGTTCTGGCTCTTCGGCAGCTGTCCTCCGGAAGGCACCTGCATCTGTGCGTGCATCCCTTAGGTACACCCCTCGAAAATCATTCTGAACTTATCATTCCTCCCCCAGCTCCTCAGGTTTATGCTGTCATCGGCGCCGCATCCGCGGTTGGCGGCTTAACCAGAATGACCGTCAGCTTGGTTGTCATCATCTTTGAATTGACCGGCGCTGTCGAGCTCGTGTTGCAGATCATGATGGCCGTGATGATTTCAAAATTCACTGCTGACTACTTTTCGACCGATGGGATCTACGAAGGTCAACCCTTCTTTCTGTTTTTTCGCACTTTCTTCTTCATCTTTTTTTACTCATGAGGGGTGTTGAAAAAATATATATAGCTTGGATTCACTTTCGGGGGTATCCTTACTTAAGTCCCAAAGAAGACTTCCAACCTGAAGGAGTGACAGCTTCCCAAGTGATGGTCAAAGAACTGGTGAGCTTAACTGCGCAAGGCTGGACCCTAGACTCACTGGGTTAGTGTATATCCTTTACTTTTATCCCAGTTGATATCAGAAAGCCCTGAACTTGACTTTGTGGGGAACCTTACATTATGTAGAGGAGGTTGTCCAGAAGTACGAGTTCAATGGGTTTCCAATCGTCTCGGATTTCAAAAATAACCTCCTCTTAGGCTACGTTCCTTCCAATGAATTACGTTTCGCACTAGGTGAGTTAGCTATTTTTGTTCACTTTTCCCTGTTTGACTCCACCGTGGTGGAAACCTCCTTATTTTTTCCAGTCAAAGTTGACTCGAAAGCAATTATTTTTGAATGAGAAATCAATAAGCTCAAGCTAGGTTGAGACCAGAATACGAAGGATCGACTCGGTGCGAATTTTTCACCTCCAGACCAGCAAGTCAAGATCATCAGTTGGCCAAGTCCAGAAAACAAGAGAAATCGACAGGCTCTTCTGATCACCAGAAGCGAGATCGAGACCCAGTGACAGCACTTTCAAGCGCCAAAGACTCTCACTCGGAGAGTCGGTCGACATTTGATCAACTATCTGGCGAGAATAACGACGTAAGCGCGCGGTCGTCTGGACCTCCTGGATACGGGTTTATCGACCTCAATAAATGGGTCGACGAGGTCCGTCGAACTCTCCCTCTGTGCCCCATGCCCTTCTCTTTTGATTAATCAGGGCCATCCCCTTAGGCACCGTTAACCTTGGAGCCGGAAACGCCAATCGAAATTGTCCTTCAATTCTTCCAAAGACTCGTTCGTATATCTTGACCCATTTTGCCTCTCCAAGTTTCTTGTTTTAGCGGAATCTAAAGTGGAGATTGTGATATCCCTTCGAATTTTTTGTTGCAGGGTTTGCGGAATATGTTGTTTACATCACACGGCTCCTTAGCCGGTATCTTAACAATTAAGGTAACCCCCCCCCCCCCCCCTGCCCTTTTTTGTTCATCGTTGGTCTTCCCAGAGATTCAAGACTGATTTTTTTTTCCCTTGTTATGTGGGTGATGGGTTTCTTAAACCTTCTGTACAGGATCTCCATAAATATATTCGAGCGCCTTACTATTCTTCTGTCGACCGAGCACATAACTCGTAGATCATAGTTATACATATGTTGTACTACTTGAAAACTTGTATATCAATCTTATGAATCGACCTGATATGATACAAGGGACTACACATTCTCTACCTTGAAATCGTGGAAACTATGGTTTTTTGCCCCACATTTTGGTTCTGATTTCTAATTTATCGATTCCATTTCAAGGAGCATTTGAATGAGTACCCAATCCTTTCCACCTTGGTAAAAAAGGTGATCGGACTTCATAGCCTTTTCTTCACCATTTAAATAAACATTTGCTGAAGCAGCTAATGTTTGTAGTAAAAATGGAAATCTCTTGCCACACAAGTGAACAATCTGATGTACTAACGGGTGATTACTTGTGAGGTGCAACAGCGCAGATAGGGAATTACACATTTGGCTTCGAAGAAAAACCGTCCAAAAGAAAGAAGATTGGAAAAAAAATAAAGACAACAAATAGAAATCCCTGACGTCAAAAATCGGATAGAATCAGAAAGGGATGATTCCTGGGTCTGTTTTCCTTAAGCTCCAGTTCAATCCGGTTCAATTTTTTTTTTCAATATCCACATCACCAGTAGAAAGAAACATCTCTCATAAATTTTGTTGGATTGGTAGAATAAATTCTGCTCAGATATTTATTATTGGAACGAATCATCAAGTCACAAAGTTCTCAAAATATGGAAATATCTGTTCGACAGTAGAAAGGATTCAAAATAAGAAATATGTACAATGATTGAATTCTGGATATATTTTTTTCGACTACATATGCAATACAAAATAAGGGTGCTGATTAGGCTCAAATAAGGTGATCTCTCAGTGCTGGTTCATTGAATGCCGCATTTGAGCATGGTGGAGTAGGCTTTTTCTAGCCCGCACTGATTGAACATTGAGCCAAGCTCGTTCGGGATGAAGACTTTGATCCGCAGGCCTTTCTGTTCACAGCCGTTAAAGAAATTCGAAAACTCTTGGTCCACGTTGAAAAGTCCGGCTGTAAGTTGATTGTCAGGAGTAAATTAGAATCAGTTGTCGCTTGTCTTTCGCTAGCTCTCTTGAATCCACTATCTCAGTTTGATCAAAGGCTTACTTTTCATCAGGGCTGTCCATTGATTAGGGAAGCTAGATCGACATGTGCTGAACAGTTGCTGTAATTGGGAGAAGATTTGACTGAAGTTATCGCGAAAGGAATGCTATAATTGAGGAGGTTGCGATGACGGGCCAATCAGTGTCCGATTTTTTTGGGATGGACGATGTAAAAGAAAAGAAGTCCCTCACGATTTGATTTCCGGAACATTCGTTGCAAGTGTGGAAGTTTGCAAGAACCGTTTGAATCTCGGTCGCGAGTGCTTGGACTGCTTGGATCGATGTATCGTAGTTGACTTGGACCGAGCCACCGTTTCCGCCGGCTCCGACGAAGGAACTTTGACAATCGCTAATCTTCTTGACCAAACCAGTGCAAGATCCCATCATGGTTTGATAATTCATTGACGAGCTCGAGGCGTAACTGTAATTGGAACTTTGGCTTTCTATTTTTGTTATATAACATCATCAAATATTAATATGTAGATAACAAACATGAGTGAATATGATACCAGGGAGTTGGAAAAACCTTTACTGCTACTGCTGCTTCCTGAGCTAAAGGTGCCGGTGTTGAAACCGCCGGAGCTCATACCACCACCGCCCGGGCTCAACCCTCCACCGCCCGAGGTCAACCCTCCACCTCCCGAGGACAACCCTCCACCTCTGTTCAACCCACCCCCCGAGTAACCACCAGTGGATCCTGATGTGCCAGCAGAGTTATAGCCGCCAGCGGATCCCGAGGTTCCGGCAGAATTGTAGCCGCCAGAGGATCCCGAAGTACCGCCAGAATTGTAGCCGCCAGAGGATCCTGCTGTGCCGCCAGAATTCAAGCCGACAGTGGATCCTGAAGTGCCAGCGGAATTATAGCCGCCAGTGCCACCAGAGCTATAGCCGCCGGCAGATCCTGACGCGCCGCCAGAGCTATAGCCGCCGGCGGAACCTGACGCGCCACCAGAGCTGTAGCCGCCGGCGGAACCTGACGCGCCACCAGAGCTGTAGCCGCCGGCGGATCCTGACATGCCGCCGGAACTGTAGCCGCCAGCGGATCCCGAAGCGCCGCCAGAAGTGTAGGCGCCAGCAGATCCTAGAGTGCCACCAGAGCCGTAAGCGCCAGCGGATCCTGCAGAACCGCCAGAGCCGTAGGCCGCCCCAGCTCCACCGCTTCCGCCGAGCCCAAGACCCGCGCTGACGCCCACGCCCGCTCCGAGTCCTAGGCCCGCACCGAGACCTACGCCGGCTCCGAGTCCGAGACCACTTCCAAGCCCAAGTCCTGCACCGAGGTCAAGACTAGCCCCGGTGCGTTCTTCCATCATTTCTTTGTGATGGTGTCTCGATTCTAGGGAATGAAGCACCGATCGGTCCCGACGAGTCAGTGCAAGTTTCGTCCTGCTGGCACCGATCCCAGCGTTCCTTCTGGAGAGAAAATGGGTCTCCGGATGGGCATCAGCCGTCGGACGGGCTCCAATCGATTCGCCTGTCAAGACCCCTGAATTTACGCAATCGATGATCATATTTTCGTCAGTATGAAGTCTGTATTCATTCATCGCAAACTGGAGAATGTTTCTGGGGTTAGATACGTTGAACACATACCTAATGCAAGAAGGACGGAAAGGATTATGAAAGTCTGTCCTGGAATCATCTTGAACTGAAGAAGGCCTGTTGATTATCTTGGTCGGAGGTTGCGTGTGTGTGTGTGTACGGTTGATGTTGTGATAAACGGGCAATCGAATGCAAGCAGTTGAAGATTAAAGTATTATGTACACTTAGAAAAAGGAAAGAACACTAAAACTAAAGAAGAAAAAAAAAGATGTGAGGATGTGTGGAGGAATGGAATTGATTGATTGATAGAGTCGTTGGCGAGTGTATATGGACAAGTTATAAAGAGACAACAGACAGATTTCGGATTGGAAGGGAAGGGAAAGGATGATAGGACAAGGGATGACCGGACCGAGGGCGAAGTATTCTGCTTTATAAACGGATCCCATCTGCCCAGGACGATTCAAGCTTATGGTGGCTGGATTCACTCTGCAGGTCATTGACTTGGACAGTTCAAGTGCGTGGCTATTCTCGATGGTTGCTAGGATCAGGAGGGTTGAAGCTGGCATGAAGCTCCTAGCAGTTGCTCATTCTTAAGGGTTCAAGTGATAGCTTATCGCCGTCTTCAACAGCAACCCTCCTTAGGCTGCTTGACGAGTACAGCTCATCCACCCTCGCTCGGTTAGTTACCCACAATCAAACCAGTACCCTTTCCCTCTTCTTCACGCTCATTGCTCATCGTTCGGTCTCCATTGCTCCGAACCTTCCCCCCCAAGAAAGCGGGCCCTGGGGGCATCTCTGGGTTGGCCCCAATCCATGATCAAAAATCTAGTAGGGTTTGATGGAGGGAGACGAACGTGATGATAAGTCCAGTAGAACTTGATGGAGAGACCAACTCGATTTCAGTCCCCTCTTGGACGCGAAGAGGTGAGTTGGTTAAATTGAATACGGGGGGAGAGCTCTATGGACACAACTTGACTGGCTTGATTTCCTCCCGAAAAATCACGCTCAGGAGAACAACAATGATTGAGAAAGAAAGAACCTCATGTGAGCTGCCGTTGATGACGCACTGCTTGCAGCGGCAGCTTTCCATCTTGAAGCGATGCTGCTCCCTCGAAGGCACACAAATCGATAGAAGTGATGACCCCATGACACTATTGTCCTGGGCAAAGACATTTTTTTGTTCTTCCTGATTTGTGCCGTGAGAGTCCGGAGGGAGTCTGTCTAGCACAGGTCCATTTTGTGGAAGGCTCCAATCCTGGGTATGATGATGGTCTGCCCAACGGAGGAAGACCCACCCCCGGTCCAGCCATCTGCAGACAGAGGACCGAGCACAGCTTCTGACGACCGTCATGAGGTGATGGTTTGCATATCGTCGGAGAGGGTTCATGGTTGGAACGGGCCTGGCTCCAACCATCCTCCGAGCCGGCGCTGCCGTTGGATCGTAGTCGGCGGGGTTGGGATGTGAGACTTGTAATGCCACCCCCCCATGATGATTATTTATGTTCCAATCCACACCGATCAAAAAACGTGACCCGGGGGTGTATTATGTATAGGACCCCCAGAGTTAAAAAAATAATGAACCCAAGTCGTGGTCAGCGACTTGAATACGAATCCAAACCGATTTTCAAATGTGAGCTGAAGAGCGGATATCAGATTGAAGCCCAGATTGGGTTCGATTCGGCCAGATGGTCCAGACCGCAAGCCGAGAACTTCATGATCAGAGTTCACGGAACCAACACAAAAAGTGAGCAGGATTCGGTGGAATGAAACAGTCGTCAGTGCACAGGTCAGGAGGGATGGGATCGGCTGAAAAAAAAAAAAAAACAGTCAACAGTCAACAGGCTGTTAGAGCGGGGGCGTTCAAGAACCGGTGCCCTGTTCCTTCGCCAACGCGTGGTTCGCCTGTCTTCTGTCTATCATATCAGGAAAACAGCCTGTTACAGATCTACAGAACTACTTCTAACTATTTAAACACCTTGATAGCATCAACGAATCCCGAGTGACGGTATAAGGAATTATAAGGATGGAGAAAACCGATAACCCACTCCTGATCGGAAATCTGTTTGGGATACAAGGTCGGATAGCCGTTATCACTGGAGGCGGAACGGGACTCGGCGAAAGTTTCGTAGCTTTGTTTTGTTTTTTTTTTTCCTTGATCTTGGCTTGCAGCACAAGAAATGTATCATCTGAATTGAATGATTATCTTGGGCTTGATGTCGTCTTGATGTAGTGATGGCGAACGCATGGGTGGTCAACGGAGGCCATGTTGTGATTGCCGCTCGCAAGGAAGAGGTATGCAGCAATTGCGGACTCCCTTCTGGCAAAAATAAAGCTTACAGACGATGAATGATGTGTCCTTGTTTTCGGGTTTTTCTTCTCAGGTCCTCTCGAAAACCTGCGAGCGGCTGAACGGAATGGGCACTGGGAAGGCCGAGTACATCACCAGCGACCTCTCCTCCAAGGCCGGCTGTGCGGCATTGTGCGACGAACTCAAGAAACGATTCGACAAGATTCATGTCTTGGTGAACAACTCCGGAATGGCGATCGCCGGGGAGTTCCATCAGTATCCTGAGAAAGGTCGGGTCCTATTCACTATGTTATGTAGCACCTTGCTTGGATTGATCGGGATATTTGATGCCAGTTATATTAAGATGCTGAGATCGCTTGTTTGCCTTTCTTTTTTTTTTCTTTTGCTGGGTCTCACAAACAAAGATTGGGATGATGTGTTCAGTTGAGTCTCCGCATATATATCTTACGGGGATGTGCGAGATGCTCAATCTGTTCCTTTTGCATTGCGATGACCCCGACGTCTACGTTCCATTAGATCTGAATGTCAAGTCGATTTTCTATATGACTTCTGAGCTCACCCCATTATTGGCCAAAGATGCAACCAACCTGGGTAAGGTCAAGAAGAGCTAGAGTGGGGGAACACGATGAGTGAGATGTTCTGATCTGCTTTGTAAATTCGAACTATTAATGCTTAATAGATCCCGGAAGAGTCATCGTCATTGCTTCTGTGCAGGCCTTCAACAACCACAGCGTTTTTGGAGACCACGGAATCTGGTCATGTGGGTCCTCAACTTGCTCGGGGCTAGATGCGATTTGGCAGGTGGTCTTTTCTGAATGTGCTGTGATCTTGATGTTTGATAGATAGCAGCAGCAAAGCCGCCGCGGTCTCTCTGGCATCGAACCTAGCAGTAACACTGGGTCCGAAGTTGATAACCGTGAATGCGATTTGTCCAGTGAGTTTATCGTTCCAAATCTTGATCTGCTCCTGATACCTCCTCACTTTATCGACCTGAAATACTAACAGAGACTCCGACTAAACATGTAGGGTTTATTCCCCTCCAGCATGACCGAAGAGATCATCAGCCATGCAGAACAGTTGGCCTGTAGCCTGCATCCGATGGGTCGCTATGGGGCAGTAGAGGTGACTAATTAACAGATATCTGGTTCAGCTCCGATCTCTGGCGCATGAAAAAAATGTGGACATCGAAATGTTGACCTGGTGCACCTATCTTTGTGTCTTGTCCACCTCATTTCAATGCTGCCTGTATAGGACATGGCCGGCGTGTTTCTATTCTTAACCAGTCGGGCGGGGGCACACATATCTGCAAACGTCAGTCTGAATTCATTTCTCTTGCTGAGTTGGGGGTAGACATATGGACGGGAGGGGGGACTGAAGGGTTTTTGTCTCAATCCCCGCAGGCCATCCTGTCTGATGGCGGGGCCACAGCTGCTGGTAAGGTTCCCCATGATGTTGTATCTCCTCAAGCTTCTGCATGAGCATCCTGTCCTTTCACAGTAGTAAAAGTCCGGCTGATCGCCCACATAACTCAGCTCGCTTCTTGAACGATCACATCAACGTTTGATCATCGCCAGTCGTCTTCCCTTAGTGCAGCTAGGTTCTTCTCATGTAAAATCAATCCTGATAGGTTCTCGAAAATAGTGATCGTAAATAAATATGTAGTTTCTTTCCTTCAAAAAGTTGTCTGCCCATTCCACTCAGACATATGTATAGTATGTATCTACCCTGATCTGGACTGCAGAATCCTTCCTGTAGCACAGCCTCAGGTACCCTGTGCCCTCTTTTGTTGTTGCATCCGAGTCTTATGAAATCGAACATTTTATGTTACTGACGAGCTAACTTACCAGGTGTCAGCCATCTTTCGTAAAAAAAGATAGAGCCACAAGGAAAGCATTATTTGTGGGGGGAGCTTGCAAAGGCCGGGTCAATAGGTGCAGTTACATCAATGCTTTCTAACTTTCGCTGATACGCGTCTTGGCGATTGGAATGACGCTACAACATTGCGATATCGGCGACGCAAAAAACGTGCATGCCGAGATCAAGACCAGTTTCCATGAGGGAGACGGTTTTGAGGCTCCCAGCTCAAACACTTCGGACAGGCAGAGTGCTCGTCGAAGGTCATGAGGAAATATGCAACTCTCGAGTTTCAAAAAAAAACAAAGCCTGGATAAACTCTCGATTATACACATCTCGAAACGCTATACCGTTGATGATGAGTACAGGCTTTGTCAAACTGTCAGATGTTCCTAAATGGCCGTTGAGCTTGCAACCCGTTTCACCAAGACTTCTGTACCTATTATCCCCACTTCGATTCAACCACCCCATCCCAGCTTGCAGCTGAAAAAACATCCAAGAGGCTAGCATTATTTGAAGGCGGTGTGGCTCCTATTCTCCTTTCAGCCCCCCTCAGTTGATAACCCTCTGCTTTATCACCTCCCTCTACACTCATAGCACAAGGCCTTCGACTCTGTCCAACCTAATTATTTAACTAATTTGCCCAAAGATGTTCAGTCTAAACCGTGAGCAAGACTCTGAAGCCTACAGAGTGTCTGGGTCGGCGTTGGAGGAAGATCTTTCGCTCCTTAGGCGGCGAGTAAGCTCCTTGGTTTTACGCCACAGCCACCAACCATTTTCTCCATGCGCACCGACTGGGAGTTGAGAGTGCTGATCATCTTTTCTCTTTGAAACGACTTGGCAGATGATCCAGGCCGGCAAGTGTTACTGTTTGCTTATCTTGGCCACCCTAGCCTGGCTGGCATTCGCACATACCCTCGATCACCATCCCAACATGTCGGTTCGATTTAAGTATTCTTGATATGAGAAATGAGATGCTAATAATCTGACCCGTTGATTCTTTGCCGACGGATGGATATCTTCCCGACAGACTTCAATCGGTCAGCTTCACCAAGTTCAACCTCGATGTTCCCTCCTTTCCGGTCCAGGATCTGTTTGCCCACTTCAAGCCGATCGACGACTCGATCCCCCCACTCAACGTGAGACCGTACCAGGACGGCCTCGCCGGGTCGACCCTCAACAAACCCGTCGAACGTATCACGCTGTCGAGAATCGTCGGCCGCAAATTCAGACTCAATGATCGCAAGGCTTTGAGAACTACTCATTGAGATCCTCCTCCCCCCCCCCCCCCCCAGAGACGGCTCCTTTTTCTCTGTCTTTTTCGTGGGCTTGTCCCATCCCGTACTCTTAATCTTGGGTCTCCCAAACGAAGTTGTATAGGATTCTTATTAGTGGGCATAATATATATTTTTTATCTGGGTTGGGGTTCTAGTTTTTCCCTACATCTCACCATCTAGATTGGAAAGAGCGACATGAAAAGTCACAATTGGCAACATACACAAAATACACAAACTCCAAAAAAAAGTGGATCAACTGTTTTTGGGCTTTCCTTGGTTATCTTATATGCTCCAGGAGTCCAGCTTCACTCATTCCAAGTTGGCAGTCTCACCCACAATCCCTGCTCACAAGCCCCCCCCCCCCCACCATTCCTTTCCGCTGGCAATAAAACACATGTAAAATATCTCCTCTCCACATCAAGGAATAGGGTTGTTCATCTTGCCTCCTGGCATATACAACATCAATTGATCATACTACTACTCAAGTGCAATACTTGATCTGCCTTGATAAAAAGAAAGTGCTCTCAAGGATTGGGATGGTCTTGAAAGAGAATTATTTTGGAGTCAAATCATCTGGGGTTGAGACTTGATGAATCGTTAGAAAATGAGAGTACACGAGCACGTTTTCATTGATTTTAATAGCTGGGCTGTATCTATCAACCTCAAACCATTTGGCGATCATCAACCCTTTGAATCCACCAAGCTCCTTGCAAAAAAAGCTCAAAAAAAACAAATTCATATTGGCTCACATGTTGTGCCATTACAAATCACCAGGGTTGGAATGCCATCAGGGGCAGAAGAAGGTCTATCTCTGTGGTGATTGGTTTGGTTGGTAAACCAGCCCCCCAAAAAAATGGACTTTTTTGCATCTATCAATCATCTGCACTCTGTGAACATAAATTATTTTTTGATCCTTCCTATTATGAACTCCCTGTGCCTCTTTGCAAGAGAAATAGTGGCTCCATACAATGAAGTATTTAGGAGAGATGAAAAGGTAAGATTGAGATGATTGATTGGGGTTTCAGAACCTCAAAACTCAATCGATCGAACTCCTCAGAATCGCTCAAATGTGGTGCATGCAGAGTAATAGTGTTCCAAAGAATGATGATCAGAAAGATGAAAAGATTAGTTTTTTTTTTTCTTTAAAAAAGCAAGAGTTTTTTGTCAAAATGGTCAAAAAAAAGATGAATTGATTTTATTCTTGGTAAATTTGCTACTTTTTTTTGGGGGGGGGAGTGTTTTTTCACACAAGTGATGATTATAGTATGGAAAAAGAAATGTTGGAATGAGATCTTGACCAGATGGGTTTGAAGAGATGTTTTGAGTGCAGGGACTTGTTCACCAGCCCAATATAATATTCCATTCATGAGACACTGCAACCTGTCTTGACTCCAATGATCTGCAGGCTCAACTTTTCTTGTTCATGTTTTTTTTTTTCTTTCCATTCCCCAACTTTTGTGTTTCTGTGCCCCCCCCCCCCTCAAACTACCCCAAAATGATAGTCAAAGCTTTTGCAAGAAGAAATCAGTTTTACGTTTTATTTTTAGAGAATTTTTAAACCTTTTTTTCATGTTCATTCTTTTTGAGCTATTCTATGTTACTTGACCAAGCTGTCTCTTGAATTGAAGTTCCTGGTATGAGTTATGGGAATTGTAAGAGCTGTGAATTCTCTTCACTAATGCTCTTTAGAAATCGGTCGGAACAAGGCCTTATGCCTTGGAGAGAACTTCTAGTACCACAGTTGGATGAACTACTAGCATCAATAGGAGAAAGGACTTGTAAGTACAACTAGAGTGGTGATGAAAAGGAAGAGGAGAGTGTAGAGACAAGAGATGGGAAGATGTACCTAGCATGAGTAGGAGGAAGAACTCTACCAAGCTAGGAAGGAAAGGGGGAATTCAAGACTAAATACAAGACAGAACTAAGCTTATGTAATCTTGTGAAATGTTTGTGTAAGCCTATGAGGAGCAGGGCTGACAGGGATCCCAGACAAAATGCCAATATTAAGGGTCTGACCATTGTATTGAAAATGGTGTGATTTTTATTCTGGACAAAAGTTGTGCATCTGCAATCTACGGTATAGTATAAACATCCTACCCAAATTTGTGTCCTGCAAACATGTTATTCTATTTCAGACACCCGGTCCCAACATTGTCAATAATTTTCCTTGTTGACATATTGTACCTGTTTCTTTCTTTGCATCAGCTGTGAGGATATTTAAAGAAATGATGATGAGTCATGAACAATCATAAAGAACCACATCCGATCAACCTCGAATTATCAACTTGAAAGGGCTTTACATTTCCAAAAGGAAAGACATAGATATTCAATCAGGCAAGTACTCAGAAAAAGATTATATGTACCAAGTGTCCATATTATCTTGATGCAGTTTGATTAATGAGCTTATAGTTGGATGATGAAGTTCCTCGATGGGTATTTCATTGGGAAGCCAGCTGACCTGACTGCGGGGTTTGATAAATAGTTTGGTCTGAGTGTTTGGGATGAGCAGTGTTGATGAGGATATTCATCTCAGCCTGATGATGATGATGATG